AGATGACGAGGCGATGATTTTCAAAGCCAGGTTGGTGGATAGAGGTTTCACACAGAATAAAGATGTGGATTACACAAAGTTTTCTCACATGTAGTCAAGTATGCTACAATTCGCCTGGTATGTGCACTAGTTGCAATATTTAGTTTTGGTATGCATCAGATGGAAGTGGTTATAGCATTTAGAGGAAAAAATCTACATGAAACAACCAGTTGGCTTTGAGGTGAAAGAGCATGAGAGGTTGGTTTGAAGATTGCTGAAATCACTATATGGACTGAAGCAAGCTCCTAGGTAATGAAACACGCGCTTTGATGAATTCATGAAGACAGAAGATATTTCACGGAGTGTGTATGATCCTTGTGTCTACATAAAGAAGATGGATGATGAGATCTTCAATCTTATTATTCTAGTAGTTTACGTAGATGACATGCTCATCTGACGTTGACAAATGCAAGAACTAGTTGAAGTTTGCATCTAAGATGAAGTATTTGGAAAAGTCGAAGAGGATATTAGGAATGGACATTCATAGAGATTTGATGAAGAAGAGGTTATGGTTGAGTTAGGGCAAGTATATTTGATGTATACTTGACAAGTTCAACATGACTGATTTTAAGGAAGTATGAACTTCTTTGGCAACATAGTTCAAACTTTCCTTATCTCAATGTACTACCGATGCCATTGAGAAAGGAAAAATGTCATGTGTTCCTTATAAACAAGCTGTGGACAGTCTCACGTATTCAATGATGTGCACGATGTCTGATATTGCTCTAACGATGGGCAAGGTGAGCATGTACATGTCGAATCCAGGGAAGATTCACTAGGAAGCAATGAAATGGATTCTCAAGTATTTGAAAAGCACTAAGGATTATTGCTTATTGTTTGATGGTTCATTAGACGATGTCAAATACTTGTTAGGCTATGTTGATGCTAACTACAAACATGATTTGGACCAGAGGAAATCTACAACTGGATATGTGTTTACACTTGCTGGTGGAAGCATTAGTTGGAGATCTTCCTTACACAAGTGTGTAGCTCAATCTACAACAAAAGCTGAGTATGTGGCGGCAACAGAAGCGGCAAAGGAAGCTATTTAGTTAGACAGGCTTATCACAGATATGAGATTGAAACATGACGTGATCAATCTTCATTGTGATAGTTAGAGTGCTTTACATTTGGCTGCAAATCAGGTGATGAACAACAGAATGAAACATATCGACATCGGATATCACTTTATCAGACAAGTTGTGTCTGATAAAAGGATTGAACTAGTCAAAATAGATAGCAAATTCAATCTAGCTAATGCGTTAATCAAAGTTTTTCCTTTGTAGATTTTCAGACGACATTGTGCTACCATGCAGGTATTGCATGGGGAGCACAGGTAGAGTTTGCTAATAGTATCTTCTCTTCTTTATATTATTACTGTATCATGTTATGACTACGGCTTAGTTCTAGTTAACTCTAGTTAAAAAGAGTTATATTGTGTTGGGTTTTTTTTTGAACTTACTGCGCAATAATTATATAGGTTATAGAGGTCACTATTCACTCAACATGAGTTAAGGGGGAAATTGTTGCAGTTAACTCTTTTATTTGGGGTAACATTCTATATTAAGTCGTCTTAAGTCGTGAGTAATCTCTAACACCCCACTGCATTTTGATTAGAGTGATTTCGTTTGGTGAACTACATATCTGAGTGTTTTGTGTACTTGTGTGCATTATTTTGTGCACTCGTGTGTGAACAATTGTCTTTTCCTCATATGCTTGTTCTTGTCACTACTTTTATTTTTCATAAAAAAATAACGGAATAACGCTGTTTAAACGCCTTTTAAACAGAGACCAATCTTTGAAAACTTTTAATAACGGTATAAATAATAAACCGTTATTAAAAATTTTCAAAGACTTTTAATAACGGTTTATTATTTATACCGTTGTGGCTTGCCAAGTATAGTGTCAACTTTTAGTTAGTAAAGTGCAGTTTTAGTTAAACCCTTAGTTAGTTTCTCTAGTACCTACTCCAAAATGAACGAAGACGTTTTTGTTGGAAATAAGGAACTTTCTAAAAACGAAATAAGCCATGTGGGCTCTAGAGTTTCATATCTGCAGTATTTAGAGAGTCATGATTATCTATAACAAAACTATTAAGCAGGTCATGTTCTTTTTTATCATATTAATGGTTACAATGATTTCTGGACCGGAAACTTTAGTAGGAACTTAGAAGGACTCATCACTAAAATCGGACAGTCATCAATTTCGTAAACTTTTACTCTCGGATGGCGGAAAGAAATGGACTTGAGACGATCAGATGAGATGTGTGGATGTGCAAAAGTACGGGCTCATGGGACGAATGAAATGTCACGTCGAGGGGTAATATACTGCAGCTGTACCTCAGGGATCCTTGGGTCTGGACACTGACAGCAGGCGTTTCGAACAGAGTACCATGGTCACCATGTCAGAAACCACGTACAGTCGAGGGGGATTTCAGCACGAGTTATGATCGTTCAATAATCAGGTCAGGACGGAGTCAACAACAGGAAAGATGCCACTTAGTACCCGGCCCGGCCGAAGTTCGCAGCGGCTGCTGCTGATGGCAGTGGCGACGCCGCACTGCAGTAACGCACTCTACCCATGGGGACAATCCATGCGCATGAGCTTCGGGAGAGGTCTAGCGATGGTGTCTCCGGATTTAAGAAAACCAGAGGGACCCGTCGGGTCCCGTTTGACACAAGCACCAGCGGTGGCTCCCGTGCAGCGCGGCGCATCTCAGCTGCGATTCCAGGGAACCGGGCTGTGTGGATTCTTCTTCTTCTTTCCTGTGGTTTGGTGCTCATCAATGTGGCGAGCTGGAAGCTTGCGCCCTTTTACAAGATGCCACCTCCTGGTGAATCTACAACCGACCTCCTGCCAGCTTTTTCTCAGCTGATCCAAGTCCAGAATCTCAAAAGCAGAGCACAAGTGCATTCGATTCTGTCTTTGCTTAAAAGCCTGGGACGACGATCTGACGACTAATTACCTCTGCAACCTGCTGCTGACTCCGTGAGGGCTCTGTGGCAAGTTCTTGGTGACTGCTTGGTGGGCTCAGGAGACATGTTACAGCAGTGTTGTTTACCCTGGGCTTGATCCAGATTACGGATGCAAATTAGCACATGACTGTTGCTCTCAACAACTCGGACGAGAATTTTGATTTTTGCATGCAGCTTCGTGCGATCATATATGCCCTGACGATGGCTCTCGTGTTTCGTAAGTTACATGCGTAGATGTGCACGCTAAGGCAAGACCTTGAGTTTGCGGCTCCATTCAGTCAAACACATGAATCAGTTCCACCAGAATCTATCTTGAAGAACATCCTGGAAACCGGTGAATACTTATCTCAGGTTCAATTAAGGAAAATTCGAGGAACATGGATTGCATGGAAGGCAGGAATAGATTTACCATGTATTTTTTTTTGGGGTTTTATCACATTTCGATGCAGAACATTCCCAGCGTGTGCGATGCAAAAACGAACGACTTCAGGAGCAGAAAGCTTCTGACTGAGGCTGACGTATGAGCAGGAATGTGGAGATCCAGTTGGTGGCTTTGAAACAACGATTGATGGCCAGTGCAAGGCTACGCATGGGGCATCATCCAGTTCAGCGTTCAGAATAACGTCTCCGGGTGTTGTGCTCCACTGAGGAACTCCTTTGCAAGCTAAAAGATAAAGATTTTGTTTAAACAGAATCCAAAAGCTTCAGCAGAATAGCAACCATAGCCAGTGGCATATGGGAGCCACATGACAATTGTTTTTCTCAAGTCTCGCACACATGCATATGTGCCAGGCTAACATTACACCGTTGTCTCACATCATCTTCCACGTTTACCTTTCCATTATTACTCCCGAAGATTGTCAAGTCCTCGCTGTCCATTCCTATCATCTGTTTCCAGCTTTAAGAGAAATACACCAAGCCTTGCAAATGGCATGCCCTTGTAGCCAAAAGTAACGACACAAGCATTTGAATGTATGACAGGCAAGGTGACAGTATACAGACCTGAAGATCTGTCTCATCACATCAGATTATTCGTCTTGGTTTCTGTCAAACTGTGGACATCGAGCTCAGTCGCTTACACTCAGTCATGATTATGGTTACTCTGTAGTCACTCCGAGATGGATCGTTCTCATAGGCCGATAACCCGGTGGGATATTTGGTGGACCTTAAATTCCAGTCATTCATTCATTATAGGGGGTATGAAGTATCACCTACCTGGATGTGGATAGAATGCCAACCGTTCCCTGGCTTAAATGAAGCTGGCAATATGCAGCGAGTGAAGTCAAATGGGCTTTATCTAACGAGGATCGAGGGGGTCCAGAAGTATGTTATACCGGGATGTAGATGGGATGCCAAACCTTTCGTGAAATGAGTAAAGCTGACAATGTGCAGCAAGCGAAGTCAAATGGGTTTGAGTGACGCCCTTCGAGTAAGGGAAGGGAAGTCGCTGTTCGTCAGAAGTTCTGAGAGGGCTTCTCGCAGCAGCGAAGAGGGGATCGTAGAATCGACTTTGCCTCGAGGCCTGCCAGGCCATGCGCCTCATCCCCTACTTTGCCTCGTCAACGAACACTAGGATGGAAAGAGTACGCGAGCTTTAGAACGAGTTTGCAGCGATGCAACAGCAAAGTAACAGAGCTCTCAGCCAGTGAGTGTCGAAGCAGGAGGCCTAGGGGCCCGGGCTCAATTATGAAGAACGGACCTCTGTCACTGATGAGGGAATGATGCAGCGGCCACCGTTGAAACAGTGCGCCAGAACATGCACTCGCATGCATGGCAGTGCACTCCCCTCAGAGCGAAGCAGCAGAAGCAGTGGGATTTCGGGCTTAGTTGGCACACAATGATTCACGAGTGAGTACCACAGTGGAAAGCGGAAAGCATGATGGACGGAGGCCGTGTACTGCTACGCCCTGCGCAAGCAGTAGTCTCGTCACCAGCGCCCTTCGAGTTCCGTGATCATCAATCGATACACGAGCACATGAGTCCAAATTGTGTTAAACTTTGGTGGTTGCAGGGCACTCTTTGAATTGAATGCAGTGACCGCCTCGAGTCTGCTCCAAACCTACAACACGACCTGCGCAAACTCTGGTATCGCTCGAAGAGCTGTAAGTCATGTCGTCGTGGTGAGGTGTTCACTCCAAGTGTAGGCGTCCGTGAGGTGGAGGATGCATCAGCCCCCTCACGGGAAAAAGCAGATTACATACATGGAGCGTTATATTGACCAGCGCTGGAAAGAAAGAAAGAGACGAACGGAGCGAAGGCAAGCGGCTCTGTGGCCAGAGCTAGCCATAGGCTGCGTCACTCCTGGGGAGCAGCAAAGCGAAGCAAGGCAACGCTGCAAGGTGGGGAATCGACATCGTCCATGTACTTAGCCAGGGCATTTTAGAAGGACGGCTTAAATCGGACTTGGCAATGCGTAGGTGGGATTCCTTCGGTACCGACTTCGCTTTTCATGCAGTGAAGTGTCCACATTTGCATGAAAGTAGGTGGAGATAATCACTATTTCATACTTTACATATACTACTTCGATACTCTTAATCCTTGTGTCTACTGGCCACGGCCGCACTCGACTTGTCTTGCTTTCCCTTGGCCTGTCTTGGCTTCGCTTGGCAAGTCTGTTTCAGATTCTCTTTCTCCGCGTTCTTTCTCGAAGCCTCAATCTTGACTCTCTGGACATTCGATAGACCTGGAACTGAAACCACGCAGCACCTCGAAAATTTCAATCAAGGATTTTTTCCAACGAACTCAACCAAACAGCCTCCCCCTACCTTCGGGACGAGGTGTGACTTGTCTAATGCCACATTCTTCGAGCCAGACCGGACGTATTTATTCCATGTCCCGGGTGATAAGATCGGAAAAGCTCGTCAGGACTAGGAGCTCCGAATGGGTGTTTTGTCTCAACTGTCAATTGAAGAGAGTGGGTGTGTGTTGAACGTCCCCGCATCGAGCAGAGCGAAAATTAGGTGCTCATTGAGGAACGCTTGATGGAGCTCCAGTCGAGAGCAAGCACGCGACTCAGAACTCCAGAAAGGGAACCATAGTGGAGATAATGACCTTCAAGTTTGCCGCTATTTAACTTCCTGGGCAACTGAATGCTTCGTTCTAGAGTGAGGCTTCGACACGAGGAAGGTAGGACTTCTTCCATCTCGAATTCACAATCTTCCAAGGCGTAAGCACACTGGAGGGGACCATGACCATAACAGTTGTTGATTCCATTGGCTATGCGCTTCCCTTTCCTTATCCAACACGAGCTGAAAGAGAACGGCACCTCTCTTCCGATCAGAACAACAACGGCTGCATCTGAGTGCACGAATCTGGCCAGCATAGATCGTTAGATCCAGTTTTACTCGACCGACTTGCGAGAACTGGAGCCCGAGACTTGAGCAGGTGATGACGGCCAGCATATTATTTTTGAGCCGTGCAGCGTCCTCTTCGCGGGGACCTGTTGAGTACAGTGAGGTTGCTTATGCCTGTTGTTCCGTGCAGAAAAGGCGAAGAAGAAGTTGCTCTTGAACCATGGCAAGCAACAGGAGCCCAGGCAGAAGACGGTCAACGGATGAGCCACGCATGGAGTGCACTCATGAGCTTGCAGGTTTCAGATCTCTAGCCATAAGGTGAGAAAGGGCAGGGTCGCCATCGCCCGCACGCAAGGCACTTTTAATCAGGCAGAGTCTGGTAAGAATAACCGCAACACTTGCATAGCGTCGAAGGTGGATTGTATTGTTTCGAAAAAATATAGTTCCATATTAGCTGGGGACGAGAATCAGGAACGGGTGTTGTGGAACATTCAAGATGGTGCCATTCTCCGAGGTGTCCATCGCGTCGTCGGCTGGAAGGCCCTCCTGATCTCCGTGAGGGTGGTGCAGGTGGGAAGAGTGGTAGATTATTGGAGGTGATCGTCATCTTCTCAAGAGCTAGCTGCCAAGCTCTATCAGGGAACAGGTGTGAAATACTTACAGTACATTCCAAGCTATTTCAAGAGTCAAATTGTGCTATTGGCCATTTGATGAAATGCTTTGCTACTTCTTGTACCCGTTTTCCGTCACATACACCACTGGCCGAACCTCCACACTTCTTCTCCACTTCTTAAACAGCGAGAACAGCCACTGACCGACCTGACGGCTACTTCAGCAGAATTATGAGTCGTTGATGCAATGGTGGGATACGAGTCCAGCATGGTTATTGTGGATGAGGTAGGTGAAATTTCAGAGCCCTCCAGGATGTTCTGGGACGTCGACAACGAGTCTATCACCAGACTCGTGGACATTAGTACATTCACATCCATTAAATTGTCAAACGAAAACATCGCAGTCGCAGAGTAGCACCCAACTGACGTACGGGAGTCCAGTCTCCTCCAACATTCTATCAGACACTACTCCAAGTTTCTCGGACCAGAGCACTCCCAACATAAACTTATGTCTTTGGCTCCCGAAACAATCGTAGTTCCGACTTTTACATGAGCTGGGAGATTCACACAAGAGCGTGAGCTACACATGTAAACGCACGCCTCAATTCCACGTTGATTTACTCACTCAGCAGCATCGAGATCTGGCAACTAGAAGCAATTAGACGTGGCGAAATGTCTCTGTTCTTTACTGCACATCCTTCGATCTGCAGCTTGACGGATGAAAAGTACAGCCCTTCAAGCTCGAGCAGGGCCGATCGATCTTTGCCGACGAAGTAAACAATGCGTCTCCTATGAAGCTCGAACCAGATCTCGGGCACGAGAACAAGAAGTAATGAGGTTCAGCTTCAAAAGTGAGTCTGTCTAAGAGCTCGAGACCATAGCGCTAGTGACAATGAAAGGGTGTTGACTCCCATTGCAAAGATTGAGCAGTCACAAGAATGATTAAGCAGAGTACAGAGTGTATTTGACTCGTCGGATTAGCTTCTTTTCCAGGACGAGCTGTATTCGTGTTTGTTGAGCCTGTTGATGTGGACGTCCCAATAATTCGTGTTTGTGGTTCGAAACCAGACCCGAAACGGTGCGCTCCAACTTTAGACTAAAAGCGCTGGGACCTCATAGACGAGCAACCATGTGCGGTTAGGCACTTCAGATTCTAATATAAAACCACATTACTGACAGGCAAGAATATGTATTATCACCCGAAAATAGGGAGCGAAACTGGATGAAGATCAATGAAGAGAATTTGAGAAGAACAAAGAGTCGAAGCGCTTTGGCTGGCGTCCATTCATTGCTGAAAGCAGTAGAGTTTATAGAGAGAAAAGCAAATGATCGACTGTCATAGGATAAACAGTAATGCAGAAAGTTGTGAAAACTGAGTAAATGATCAAATCATTACAGCTCAGAACCTAGAAATATAACACATAACTTGATTCTGAAGATTGTGTTCTTAATATTCATGTGAGAAATGAGATGAGGAACACTCAAAAGCAACAAGTAAGGTTGGAGTCGTGAAGATATGGGTGCCGTACAGTTCTAGTTGCAGGGCATTGACCTAAAGCATGATGACGTGATGACCCGACTATACCATATTTTTTTGCACCACAATGATTGTGCTACACACTGCAGAGACAGTAAAGGGAGTATGTACCCTTTTCCAACTTGATAAAGAAAGGGTATGATTTGCAATTGTTTGCATAGAATCTTAATAGATAAAAAGGTGAGGGTACTTGATATTATGTTTTTCTTCATGACTTGTTCGTATTACAATAAAAATTTTCAAAGTTATTTCAATTTCACATAATTCAGCATATTTATCTATGCCTTGTGATCACGATATGAATGATACTCCCTTAGTAAAAGAAAACAATAGCTCCTCGAGCTCTCTTTTGAGCGAAAGACGCACATACGTGCACGGTATTCAAGCATGAAGCGATATTATTATGCATTCTCGCTGATCATACAATTCATGAGTGAATCTTAATAAGGTGGATAAGGACGTGTATGTTTTTTGACCGTAATTTTTGAAGTGACTTCGTCTCGGACTAAGATAATCAACAAATGAAGAGAAGCTTGTAAGAAGTATAAAGAGACACAATGGAAGATACAGATTTGTTGTCCACGGTGCATATGTGTTAAAGCTAAGCCTGTATTCACTTACTTTTGTTGTATCGTTTGATGTAGATGATAAGTATAAGTCATTTATATAACATATGTTGAAGTGATACAAATGCCTCAAGTAACATGAGTCATGTCCTACACTTTGCAGCAGAATGCTGAAACTTTTGACACTACTGACATGATGTCCAATGTATGTTTACAGTAACTGGAGAATCATTGAACTGTTGGAGAGCAGATGCCTAAAAGCCCCAGTTTTACGCACTACTCAAAATTGATCAAGTTCTGTTTAATGGCGGACAAGTATGTAAGTTGCGAAAGTTTGAATGCAGCTCACTTTCTTCACATAGAAAGTAATAACGGTACATACAAAAGATGTTCTCATAGTCTTTCAACAAGCAAATTCAAAACTGTTGAGGTCGTGGGAAAATTTTTCTGGTGTAGAATGTATTAGTTCTAGATGTAAACCATCGCAATGAATTCATTGTTTAACATCCCGTTTGCGAGCATTGTCTAGTAATAATTCAAACTATTCACGGTGCATTAATCTAGAGATCGAAAATGGTATTCGAGCTATAGCAATACCTCTGGATTTAATAGAAAATTGTAGTCGAGCATGAAAGGAAAAAGAAGGCTCAGTATTGCTATTTGATATATGACTCCATCAAGATGTACATTCGCTACTTTATGATTTAAGACATGCAAAATCCATGATATATACGACTATGGTGTTGTCACCAAAAGAATTGTCAACATGAAGAAAGTACAATTCAAAAAATAGTATTAAGAACAAATTTCAAAAAACTAAAGATTCCCAAAAAATAATTCCCAAGAAAAATAGACAATACACCGCACAATATGCGAGAAGTCTAAGGTATAATTTTATGAGAAGAAATTGATAATCTCTATATTGGGGATTTTAGTTTAAACTTCACGAACTAAAAAAAGACGATGGGCTTTACTTTAACCAAAAAAAGTTAACGTGCGTAAATTTATATTATCCATCAATTTTCACATGGAATATAGAATCAGGTATTGAGGATTTTCAAGCAAGGTTTAAATTTTAAAAAATGGCTTCTTTTGTAATATGTTGAATTCTATGGTACAGTAAAATTAAAACTCTTTGGTTTGACATCGATTTGAAAACAAAGCCACATTTTAATAAAAATGGGGTTACTTATTTGATTATGATTTCTTTATGTATCATCAACCATCTCCTCCAAAACTGCAATTACAAATGTCCCCGTATGTATGTATGTATATATATATATACATACTAATCTGGACACACAAAGGCGTACTTAGCTTTTTTTCAGAGTGCAAGTGAGTACCAATCAATCATGATGTGATTGAACATGCGTTTTAGCAATCGGCAAAGAACCTTGAATGGATGCAGACGTGCTGGATTTAGGTCTTAGCAATTACAAAAAACAATAATGAAGTGAATTTGAGCGTGATCCATGGTTTTTAAAGCTCTCACGTACCTTCCCCTCCTCCCCTCCTCAGGTCGTAAGGGCTCGGAGGAACTCTGTAGCCAATAAAGCCAGTTTCAAAATTATATTATAACATGACAAATCTGTACTTGGCTCACAAGATTATAGCTCGGTAAATTGTACCAACAAGTTTCAGTCTGTAACAGTTGTAAGCTGTATTAACTCAACTTCCAAGAGTTAAGGCTGATTTGAAGGTCCCGCGGTCAAGTTAGTCACATTCATTCATTAGAGTCCGCAGCAGCAGCTCTCCATGAGACGGGGTTCAGACTGCTGTGAATGGATGGACGGAAGGCGGACGGAAGGAAAGGCCAGGTACATAGCCTTGCCGCATAAATGTAAATGGGTTCATGGCACGTCGCATTCGACGCATTTAACAGAGTGTTGATCGTGTCCATAAGGATGGTCAATTTCGTTCGACCACCATCGCCTCCATCGAAGCCCGACGAATGGGCAGTCGAAGTTGATTCTTCGAGCGAGCAATGGAGGGAGGGCGACGCGACGATCGGTGCACAACAGGAGCCGCAATGTCGTCCATACGGGCCGCACGAGGACTCTTCTCGGGTAGCGAATTGACAACTTAGCCGCAGACTCGGTCTCTCCACCTTCTTCCGAAATACGCGAACGCGCGTACTGTACGCTGGCGTAGAGTAGAGTAGAGTAGAGTATAGAAGAGGAGGCACCGTACGCAGCGCAACACTGTAGTAAGACCCCGTGGAGCCCGAAGAGAGGAGAAGGCTACGATTTGAGTCCGGGCAGTGCGAGGTCTCGTTGGCATGAGGCGTACACGTAAGCATGAGGGGGGGAGTGAGGGAGGGACGGAGGGTCGGAATTGGGAAAGAGAGTGAGGGAGAGCTCGCAGAGTCGCAACATCGGGGACGGCCATTTTGCTGCGAGCGAGAGCAGAATCCAGACGGGCCGCGAGACTAGAAAAGCCATGGAATGCTCGGGAGTATGGCTTGCAACGAACGCATCGAACGTAATTAAGCGCAGGCTCATGCCCGCAATCGCTCGTCGTCTGGCTCGCCCACCTACTCTAACCTGGTCGGTCACGTCCGTTGCCGAGCAGAAGAAAGAAGAAAGAGAGGAAGGTGCACCGGCCTTCTTCTCCTGCTCTGCGGTTGGCTGCTGTCAGGCCCTGTTGGTCCCATACCTGGGGCAGCAGCAGCAGCACGGGAGTCCTCAGTGGTATGATGATGCACCGGGCTATTTCGGGGATCATGTCAGGAGGCACACCGCAGGGCGCTTTGAATAAAATCTTCTCGTCACATTTTCTTCGGTGAGGCCAGCCCCTTCTCCTGCAGCATCTGGCGCAGGGAGCAGCAGGATTCAGCCTTTTCGCGTGGCAGTTTGGTCGCGTGGCTGCCGCGGTATTTTTGCCGGGCCGAGACAGGGAGGAAGGATGTTGCTGTCAGTGCGCTCTCTTCTTGATGGGGGTTAGGAGGGCGCGGGCTAAGACGTCGAGCGAGCGAGCGCGCCCGGGAGCAATTTCGACGGAGGGGAACTCGATATCCTTCATCTGCTCGGCAAGCGCGGTCGCTTCCCCGGCAATTGTGTCGGCAGTCGAGCACGAATCCATCGTACTCATCCATGGAGGTCGCGACGAAAATATGGCACAATTTGCCGGAGGATTTGCTGATGACGGTCCTCAAATTCTTACCTCCCAAGAGCATAGCTCGGTTCCGCGCGGTGAGTAGCGATTGGCACAAGGTCCTGACGTGCGCGAGATTCATCTCGTCGTGCATTCACATGCGCGCCTGGCTGATCCTGAATGTGAAGGATTCCATCTACCACAAGGTGTTCACGCTGGAGCCCAGCAGCACCTGGTGCGAGCTGGGATTCATGTACCTGCCGTCCGCATCGAACCGAAACCGAGTGGTGGCAGCATCGGGGGGCCTGGTCTGCGTGCAGGCGGCGAATGGATCGCTGTTCGTGTGCAATCCGTGCACGGGTGCGTGGACGAAATTGCCCCCGCTCATCTTCGGCGAGTACGAGTACCCCGTGATCGGCATGATTAAAAGCCGCGACGAGCCGAGCTACCGAGTGGTGGTCACGGGCCTGAAGCACACGACGGAGGTGTACGATTCCTCGACGCGCCAGTGGAGGCTGATCCCGGGCGGCAAGCCGTCGCACGACTCGTGCACCACCTTCTACAAGGGCGTTCTGTACAGCGCCGGCATCGCCAAAGTCCTGACCTACGACGTCGAGCAGGAGAGCTGGCGCGAGATCGAGTACCCGGTGCCGTGGCCGCGCCTTTGCGCCAAGAGGATCAGCGAGTACCAGGGCCGCCTCTTCCTGGTGGCCAGCGACAGCGAGGACCACGTCCTTACAGTCTGGACGCTCGATGTCGCGGGCAGCAGCTGGAGCCGAGTGCACTCCCTGTCGCTCGACCGAGTGCATCGGCTGCCGGAGGTGGACAGGCGGCTCATTGTCGACGGGCACAGGAATTTCGTCATCTACGCGGGATTCCGGAAATTGATGGCCTTCAGCCTCCTGACCAACATGTGGTACCAATTCTCCACGTACCCGAACGATTTCCCTTTCAATTTCTTCTACAAGCACACCATCTTCCAGCTGCAGCCGTCGTTAGAGGCCGCCGTTTGAGCTTCTAGGGAGTCGCAGTCGGATCGTCTCGCCTCGTCTCAGCTGAGGATTCTCCTCTGGGCTTCCACAGATGAGTTCAGGTATGCATTCACGCCACCGTTGGTTCTGCCGTCCGGATTGTACCCAGCGGAGCCATAAAAGCTGGAAACGGAACCCATGCGCATTAGCGGCGGCTGCCACAGAGTGAGGCTGTCTCCCAAATCCCGCCAGGCGAAAGTCTATTGCAATTTCGCGCGAAGAATCGGGAAACGCTCACGGTTCGACTTTTTCATATTCCTCAGTGGCAAGAGCTCGAGTACACTAAGAAGATTATTTCGCATCCGGAGGTTCCAACGACGGTGTGGGTCGAACTCTAATCGATTGTTTGTGTGTCCATTAGATGGTTCTCCGGGCTGTGCTCTTGGGGTATTTATTATTTATTCTTGGGTCGGAATGCCGAGCATTCGATCCGAACATGAAGGCCGGTCAATGAAGACGAAGGTGTCTCGGTATAAACTCTCCCGACCCATTGCGAGTCATGCCTCCTCGTTCTCATGGAAGAAAGTCGATCAAGAGGCTGGTTTTGAGGATGATATCAACGCGTGAGACGTCGAGGTGCAATCCGTGCATAAGCACACGCGAGAGTCTATCCAACTAGTTTTAGGACCTATGTAACCCCATCAGCACAGAATGGTTGCCGGACTCTCCGTTCGAGCTGGCCTTTGTAACATTTCTTCATCCAATCATTTGTATATAAACTTCGACCGACTCCTGTGGAAAGGCAGGGATCTGTCTGGAATCACTGAAGATTTGAGTGCTGCTTTGGATTCAGCTCCATCTCTCCCCTCGTGACGCGAAAATCCATGCATGCCATTCTCTCTTGCTCCGACGAGCAGTTATTCCACCCCCGGACACGAGATGTGAATCTTACACGTCACGGCGACCGTAGTAACACGCACAAGAGAAGGAAAGAAAGAAATGATGACCTACTGCTACTCATGATTCTCGCTGCACTCCACGGCAGGCAAGTTGCGGAGTGTGCACGCACAACCTTCTTCTGGATCAGATGGTTCGGGTGTGAGTCGGCACCAGATGAGAAGAGGCTGGCTCAAGAAGGAACGAACGAGCCCCCGCAACGTGGTTAACGTAAATGACAGTCAGAAGAGGAAGGGTGACTCGTCTGCGCAGCCAGAGCCAATTTTGCTGCATCGACCGGTCGGCCACACACTCTTTGTCCCGGCGGGCTACTAAGGCCACGAGACAGACGTGTCTCTCCTGCCCTGTTAGTGAGTCTGTCTGTCTCGACAGTCACTGTTCTTTATGAGTACATCTCCAATCGTCCCCTGGCCTTACGAGGTTCAAAGTCCAGAGTATGTAGAGGCGCCACTTGCCACTTGTGCGTGTGCGTACTCGACTAGACACCTCTCGCGCTTCCCTTGAGGATCAGAGTGCTAAAGTATGCCCCTGAACTTTTTCGCGGCTCTGATGAGCCGCCCTCCCATCTCTCTCTCTCTCTCTCTCTCTCTCTCTCTCTCTTCAGTGCAACGAGGAACAGGGTACAGAGTAGTACTTGATATCAGGCAGGCAGTACTTCATATCCTGAATCCCAGAGTTGCAGACGGCTGGCGCTGGTTAGATGTGCTGTCCAGCACTCAGCCGGCTGCTTCAGCGCAAACAAATCGAATTTCTCGGGAAAGGGAGGCTGTACCACTCTCTCACAGTTCACTCTTGTCGCAGACCCACCTGCACAAATCTTGTTACATTCGACCTTTACCACTCTGCGCATCCACATGGATAAAGGCACACTTCTATGGGTGTTACATGGACCACAAAATAGATGGTTGGCTTTTCTTATCATCTCATTCTTTAGAATAGTTAGATTTACTCTAATAGGCATACTTCTATTGGTATCCAATGTAGCTCACAATATATTATTACTAGTTTTTCTCATGCCAGTTAATTTTTTAATATTACCTTCACATGGATTAGCTCTATGGGTATAATACATGGGTCGCAATATGGTTCATTAGATTATTTTTCTCATCCCCAATTATTTTGGTACTTTTGGCGTATAGCTGAAAGAGTGATAAGTTTGAGGGGTTTTTGAATGAACATGTTTTGGACTCACATCCATAGAGCTACATGCACATGGAAGAAAACGAGTTAAAGTTAAGAAAAAAATTACAGAAAGAGAGCTAGAGACAAGAATAAATAGCTATATAAACATATGGGAAGAAGAAAATATGAGAAATGACAGTGACATGGCATTGGAAATTTTCTAGGAGATGGGAGAAGAAGAGGAGTAATCTAGAACTCTCAAGTACTTCGGCACTTTCAAACTATATTTTGAAACTACAGAAAGTTTTATGTTAAATATGGATATCACTAACTTTGTTTTACTATATACAAAAAATAATAATTTCTTATCAGAATATATTATATTTGAACATCTAGAGGAGAGTAAAATTCTCATAGAATGGTCATCTTACTTGTGAATCTAATTGTGTTGTGATATATCTGATGTGAGAGGGTGATAATTTATATAGTTTTCCAAGTAATTAATATGCTCAAACATTGATTGATCATGGTGTTGATAATTTTTCAATAAATAATCTATCTTTCCTTGTCTAATTTAAAGTGTGATCATGATGAAAAGTAATGGAACAAAGTTAAACATTTATTTATTGACTAATGAGCTTATGTAAATCTTATGTGAGACGTGTATAAAGAACAACATGCAATTCATAATAAAGCTGTATAAATCTATCTAATCATTCAAATGTATCAATATTTTTTTATTTGTAATCAAATTTTAATTTCTTCATTTCAACTATTTTATAACGGTCTTCTATTATGGAGAAAAATATTTGTACAAAAGCTTTATGAGCTCATTAGACCCGATTTCAAAACAACAAGTTTGACATTCCATCTTTGAACTTGATATTATGAAGAAATTTATTTATTTGAGATTAAAATCTCTAAATTTTTCCAATTGTGATATTTTTCACTCATGATTTTAACATATAGATATCATGTGTGAAAAAGCTATAGGCAAACTTTTGGTTGTAAATATTACTCATGATTTGTAAACTTCTCAAAAATTATTTTCAATTCTACTAACTTTTTGTCATTTCTTAATATTTGTGAGTCACATATATAATAAGTCAGTAATGTGTTTAGATTATTTTCAAAACTTTGAAGTACGGTGGAACTTATTAGACCATATAAGCTGTGGAAATCATTATTTGACTCATTGTCTTGTAGTTTTCACCAATGAAAGCATATGATCAAGCTCTTTGAGATTTGGGGAAGTAAAAGTCTTACTCGAAGCATCTGCAGGATTGAAGAGAGAGTTGAAAAGTTGGTAACAAGTGGTACCAGATATGATTGCGGATGGATGCAAACATATTTCAAGCCATCATGGGAATATATTTGATAACATAACAAATTTGTAATGATGACTTGAAATTGGAGAGATAAATTTAGCCGTAGGATTGTATTTGCATTGTTTATGAATATAGAAATTATTAATTATTTTTGGAATATTTGTAATGTACTATGTTTTACTTTTAACAGTTTCAATACACTCAAATACATATTAATATGGACGAGAAGACTAAATGGTACCTGAAAAGATGACAGGAATATTTGCATACATGGAACAAGTAGCTCAAGAGTCCTTCGAGTGCATGTATCGACTAGATATTTCAAACATGTCAGGTGCAAAAGATATATTTCCTCTGTGATGCAACTGATGACGAGTCCCAGGATACCCATGGATTTAATCATTGCATGGCTTTTGGAATATTCTCTACCTTTTCGCTATATTATTTGGTGTCTGATTACCTATGCTATTGAAGACTAAGGATGCAGTGGGGCAGGACGGGACAGTAGAATACGAGTAAAGTGAATGAAACATTTGTTGCTCATGTGCAGGAGTCAGCCTCACGCTCTGCCTCTCAAACGATACAGATTGTACCGCGTGCACTTGACCTCCGCTTCGGTTTCTGTTGTTCCAGTGTCTGCAGGGATGCCCTTTATCTTCTTTTCTTGAAATATGTACTCCACGAGTGGGACAAAATGTCTATCTTAGATTGCCTTTCTTTTCAACAAGGCAATAAAACGGCGTATTGCTTCTGTAAAATATTTTTTCATTTTTTCATTTTACACTGTGTCAGCTCAACTAATATCGTCACAGAGCATGAAATATGCAGTAAAATTTAAATCTAGTAAAGATATTTTAAACTAACACAGATCTTGTAGACAATCTCATGATAGCGTATTGATTCAGGGTGTTTTTGTGAAAAGAAAAATGTTAAACCTTTTTGTCACCAATAAAACTATATATAAATTTCGGCATAAACTTCATGTGATTTGAACAGTAATCATCTCAACATTATAGCTCGGTTATCATTCTTCTTTCATTGTGGTTTACTCTAGACCAAGAGTGTCACATATTCATTTAAATTGTCCCTTAGAACGTCCTCTCTGAAGTCAATAACAGTTATATCGGATGACCTTAAATTTGTGCATACATGTTGGGTATATGTTATATGTTTGTAATAACAGATAATCATCAAAATGGAATATAATGGCAAATATTTGATACCACAAGGACAAAAACAACACCAGAGAATCAAGTAGAATGCAATTGCTGCGGCCAAAGGCGACACAATGCATGGTGAAATCACACTCGAATCCTGAAATTCATCCAATAAATTCCCAAAGAAGCCGCAAGCGACTCTGCAACTGATATTTCAGGGGGTAAATTTTCCAAGATTACACACTCAGCCGGTTGCATCGAGCTTCCAATGTACTGATCTGCTTAAATCCTGAACTACACTATGCACCACTAAGAACATTTGAATTGAACCTTCTACTTCCGATGCGTTATCTTCGACAAACTGAAGCAACTCGCGCATTATGACAAAACACACAATTCACAAACGCGCGGAGGTATGCGGACTGAAGACCGAGAAATTGACTAATGGAAAAGCCACTTGAAGGTAGAGCCTTAGCCTCTTTATTCACAACATACACCCGGAGGCATCACCCGCTAGCTGCGAGCCTCCATCAGGTGCAACGTCAACTGATGCGGCAGTTGTCACACCCTCTGAACTCATTTCTAGTCCTTTTCTACTCAAAACGGCTGACAGTTACAATTCTAGGTTCTCCTTCATCTTCTTCAAACCGGAGATGATGAAGTGATCTGTCTACCTAACTGCAAATGTTCTACAACTCCGCTGGTTCCCAACTTCTTCACTCGACGCTCCAGCTCATTCAATTTCATCCACTTTAGTATATGGATCTCCCATTCCACATAAACGCGAACACATCGCTCTACCCTCGCGCAGAACGCAGCATCCATCCAACTACTGGATACGTTCCAACTACTGGATTGTCGTTTCTGTCTTCACCAACTTTGCTTGAGCCGCGACCAACTGCTTCTCAACTACCAACAATTGAGAACGCAATTCACTACAATCCTCGTCTAATTCCTCCGCTCTAACTCCGAAGTCCGGGCAACTTTGCAATCTAGCAATTCCTTCGCTTTCAGTGCCAATTTAGTACTATGCGACTGATCTCTTGCCGCCAAAGTTGCCGTCAGCTTCTTCACGCGCTTCAATTCCCTCTCAAATTCCTTACGAGACAATTCCAATTTGTCATGAAGTTCCACCGTTACCTTTTGCGCATTGCTGATGTCGACCCAAAGTCCCTTGCACTCGAGTTCCGACTTCGTATGAAGATCCTTTTCCGCTGCTGAACTTCTCCGAAGTCCTGCACACTCCAACTTCTTCTGCCGAAGTTGCTCCTACAAGGTAGCTATCTTGGCCGCACACTCATAGGTTAAGCTCGCCACTCTTTTTGCTACCTCCACAGATGTTGATGCCTTCACCCTTGTCCTACTACGCACTAAATCTACATATGATTCTACTAATTCTGGCTCGACGTACTTCGCCATCTTCCCATCTAAATAACTGAGTAAGGGAACTATCTGATCACTCAAAATATCAACTACACCAAGTTCTGTTGTCTTTGGTTCTTAAGCCGAAGGCCTTTCGCCACAATCAAAATCGACTATACTCAAAGACACAAAGTCATTGTCTGTTGCTCCGCGACAGTCTTTTTCACTTTCGCCACCATTCGATCCAAAAGTTCCTCGACCGAATTGGACTCCACCGCCGGCTCTTCGAACTCTGTAGGTACATTCGAAGTTTTCATACCCGAAGACCAAAGATCTTTGGCTGAAGTCGCTGGTGGTTGTTCCGAAGTCTCAATCTCAGTATCACCTTCTCATTCTTCCCCTTCCTCCAACGGACCTTCCATGGGCACGGCCGAAGATTCTCACTCCGAAGGCCGGAGGTCATTCGTCATCTGTTCACACTGCCAATACTTTCCTTTCCGCCCACTCCGCCAAACTCATTGGATGCTGCGATGTTGCTTCGTTACACCCTGTACTATCCTCTTCCACAATCCGTTGGCGTCACGTCTTCATCTTGATACGGGAATGCACACTCGCTGTCCTCATCCGCGTTGCATTGATCTTCGGACACGCAATCCTGCACGTCGATCCACCATCTCTGAAGTTGTAGCCCTGTGCAATTTCTGCCGCTTCTTCGTTGGTCGTTCCTTGATTTCGTTTTCCGACTTGTAAGCTTCGACCGAAAGTGGTGTATGTTCAATGTTGTCCTCCTCATTGGCAACTTCATTGCCTCACAGCACTCCTTCGTCATCTACAATTTTCCTCTTGAGCAGGAAACTTTCTTACTCTACAACAGTTAGCAACCTCATACATTGATAGATTTTGATGAAGAACGGGGACATATAGTTCATCGATCCCTCGAATATCTCTTCAATGTTCTTGCGCATAGTAGAATCTGCATTTCAAAGAGTACGTGCCCAATGAATCGGCTTTCTTATCATTGCGCGTTCCATGAATCCGACCTGCCATGCTGCCATGTAAGTCGTTCTTGACGGTCATAGAATCTGCATCAACGTCACCACCATATTACATCTCACTTGATTGAGATACTCCGTCATCCGCCATCCGTTTTTGCGCGAACAAGATGTCTTGAAAAGCTTCATGAAGGTCTTCTTTTCCACTTGAATCACCTTCACGCTTTCGATGTCATAGGTGCAATCGTCTTCTTCTCCTGCGCATGACCCTAGGACTTGTGCCCAATGCTCAATTGTCCATCTCTCCTGGTTGCCGCAAAGTACTTCAGCGTCAAGTGCGCGTCATTCGTGCCACTCCTTCACAATTTCTGCGGAAATCCAATTCCAACCTCACAGTAAGAAATCGAGCTTGACAACTATCAATTCTTGCTAATACGCTCGTAATCTGAATTCCAATACCTTCAACGTAGACAATCAAAGTGTCGAAGATCGCTTCATCAATGAGCTCTAAATTACTCACTTGCAAATCTCATTGAGCTCTCAATTCACAAATGCACTCTCGTGAAATGTCGGCACGGAACTCCCGTTTCTACCTATATACTTCGACGCCCTAATCGCATCGTGAACTCGTGTGAATTGATAATACAAGTGTTTAATTTCCCTTCCGTTCACGCCGCCTTTCACTTCGGCGAAGTTACTTCTGTTGTAACGACGAAGGTGATATCGCTGAAGTCCAAAGGCTATACTTTGCCTTTGCCGAAACATGTTCTTCATTGCATACATCCGTGATTCGAGATTCCCATACCCATTTCCGGTGTTCTTGGGCTCGTTGGAACGAGCACGCCGAGCTCTATCTATTGAGACCATGTCTAATGCAAATTCTCACTAATTGAGAAAGTTATAAATCATCTACTTTAGTGGATTATAACTCGTCTAATTTCACTTTACTAACTACAAGTCAAAACACTAACTCCAACAGAGAGGTATCTAAATGGATTCCATTACTCCTAACTTGTCATCTATTATCGAATCCATTTTTTACTCTACTTCGTAGTAATTTTGTCGCAAAAGTTTAAACTTATTAATTTTCTACTTCTCAAATTTACTATTTTAGAATAAAAAATTGAAAACTACGTTAGCACAATGTTCTCCTTCCATAAACGACTTCCAGTATGAGCCCACATCAGGTGAATACTGGTGTTGACATGGTAGTCTTCTTCAGTCATGAAAGACTCCGACCTCTATGAAGTAAAAATTCTAAGTAAAAGGATGGGAACCCACGATCCAAACAGGGCTGAAACCAAAGGAGTTTGGTGGGGTCGGCCCCAATAGCGAAATTTGTAGGCCTGCACCTCACATACTCGACCTATTTGGTTCTAACAGCCTTCGTCCTCCATGCAAATTCGTAATATTGAGTAATTTCTATTCCCGCTCTTCGGCCCCACGAACACAATCACAAGGTGCAAAACAATATTTTGCAAGTTAATCCATTAAGCACCCTCCATTTAGATCGGAAATTGTGTGAGAAGAAGCGTAAATGGAATACTTATATTTACCCATAGTTAAAATTTTATTAACTATGGGTAAATTATCTTCTAAGGTCTATTTCTTTTTCTACTATTGGTATTAACATCTAAGCTTCTTGGCTTGGTTTCATGGGATAAATTTATCGTACTTTGCAGAACTGGGGAAATACCTAAGGGTTTCTACACTGATCAGAAATGAAATATGTTCATAAGAATATCACTGACTTTCATCAAGTACTGCAAAATATAGATACATAAACGTTTGTAAAATATGTGCGCCATGGGCTTGATTAACTGGCTGTTACATACAGGAGGGACGACTGGCTCGATCCTTTAAAAAGCTAAAATTCAGCAGGATTAACCTACCATGGCCGTGGACCGCTTTAACTCGACGGCACTGCCCGTCTTACTTTACACTGGCCCCTGCCTACTTCCTCTCTATTGCGGAGAAGTATGCTTCATGAGGAAACATAATTGAGATTAATATGCGCTACCGAACGTTTCTATTCAGAAGTAGAAGGAATTCATGTTGACACCAGCCGACAACCCTCAGCAAATCTACTATGAACAACTAGTGCTAAAAGGTTTTGTACAATGTAAAGTTAACACCTTGAAGTTCCACCCTTCTTCCTTTGAAGTGAATGGAAACTGCAGGCATTTTAGGAGACCATTTGCTTGATCTCAACAAAACGTGTTCAGAGGCAGCTCCTCATATAACAGTCAACATGGTGCTCTGGGGAGGCCGTTGATGTGCCTGCAGTGCTTGCTGTGCCTGTTGTTGTAACTGTGCCATTTTGGGGTGCGTTGCGGCATAGATGGAAGTATTCACATCAGCGCTAAGATGACGAAAAAGATGCTGCAAGTCGGGACGGAGACGCTCCACAGCTTTGCTACAAAGCATCAAAGTCTCCGGGCGAGGCTTGCCCACAGCACTACTAATTCCTTGTGTCTCCATCATCACAGCATGATGCCTGACCACAACCACGCAATTCATCAATTCCTGCTCCCTGCCGAAGATAAATGCATCATCGACAAGGCATCCCACAGTCAAACTGGGTTAAAGCTAAAGCCTCAAGTAGACGATGTGATGAAGAGATAACTTACAGAAAGTCTACGAGATCAGAAATTTCTGCTGCTTCACAGTTAGCTGAGACAACTGAGTTGCGACCAAAAACATCCGCCATTACTGTGAAGAGCAACGCAAGTGTCTGCAAAGTAATAAAACCTGAATAAGAACAGGACAAGCTTCCAGAGCAAGAAGCGGGCAGGCAAATCGAATAGCTCCTTGCCCATTTCATAAGTACGAAGCGTGATATTCATCACGAAGAGAGACGTCAGGTATCAAATGCTTTAAACAAATGCACTAATCGATTGAATGCGGTCCGCGGTTGCAGCTCCGATTGAAAACATTACCTTTGCAAAAAGAGTTCTCGAGATTACCAACCGAGGTAGTAAGGGTCCCATAATTCTGAATGCGAGTCTTAAGTGTGCAACAGAAGAGATTGGCCTTTGAAGGGTGATAACAGAATGCATCCCCTCAAGCCAATCAAAAGGCAAATTTGCGCTGAATGCATGCAGGAGCGCCAGAGTATTTCCTGTGTACACACAACAAGATGGTGAATGTAAACTCCGCAACAGTTCACTCTAGAATTTCAAACTGACATTAACAAGCAGCCGCAAAACTATGTTCTCATATTTTCACCATCTTCTTCACCTTGGAGATGGCTGGGACTTCATTCCGACAACGTGGAAAAACCCTTTAAGGCATACACGATCTCAAGGCTACACCATATCGACATATTTCTCTAGGTGCAGTTTTGGCCAGTCACACAAAAATGAGCCATGCAAATAGGTATAAACATAAGCAAGACCCGAGTAGAAGTAAAAAATTAGAGATAAAAAATTTGTACAAACATGCTCTGACAATCAAATGCATGATAGCTGCACAGGGCAAACGTGATTTCAGGGAAAGGAATGACAACTTATGCTTAGTGCATGGCGTCAAGCAACACCTGAAGCAGCTTTCAGTGAAAGCAATTTTATTTGTGTCTGAAGTACATACTTTCACGTATATCATACATGCAAACAGGTATACCAACAGAAGACAATGACGTAGTATAACAAGACTTACCTACAACACTTGACATCTCATCCTGCACGGCCCAAGTCGGATCCCACACTGTGTGCCCGAAAACTGCATCCATCTCCTTCGGGGCCCTGGTTGTATCACTAACCCACCAGCATTCCTTGATGATCCGCGCCGTTTCGGAGTAGAAGCCTCCATGAAAAGCTGTGGGTAGTTGAGCCAGTAGAAGGCCACAAGCTTGTATCACAAGTGGGCATGATGTGAGTAAATTGACAGAGTTACTAGCAGCCCCTGTGTTAGAGGCCGCATTCTGGTTATCGCCAGCATTTGTAGGAGAAGTCGGCAACAGGGGACTCCTTGGAGTTCCGACTGTTGAAAGACAAGGATTTACAAGTCCACCACTACCAGTAGAATGAGCAGGAGGAGAAGGTACACGGACAGCCGCATTGACAAGCATGGTGACAACCTGGGTCGAAGGTGGAGGAAGTGAGAGGAGTTCTACAACAGCTGTTTCGAGTACGAGCTGACTATACGTTCCTGGATCTATATGTTGGTAAAAGACTTTGTGAACCTCCGCAGCACCAGTTGCGTTTCCGGATCCAGGTGCCTGACTCCTATTAGAACCTGATCGAGCCAATCCCGGCAGTCCATCAGGCCCAGCAGCAGATGTCCTGCTCTTACTAGAGGGCGGTATGACCTTATTAACCAGGCCTTGGAGCAGATTATGGTAGTACTCGTGAGGAAGAATATTACCCGGATTTTGGCCCCCAACATGCTGTAAAAACGCTTCTGAAAAAGGTATCTGCTCAACCAAAAACTGAATATCAGGACTCATTCATGAAATCAAGGTGCAACTGCTTCGCGGTTAGTGACTCAAGCTACATAATAGGGAAGACACAGTTAAGAGAACGAAAAAAAATCCGCCCAGCTCACCTTGTTCAAGTCCAAACCCCTAAGCAGACCCACAATAAGTTTCGTTGGAAGACTGCCATAGAAATATGCAAGGGTATCGCGGACAAATGAGAATTGAGCTGGATGATGTAACAGCAGACGTTGGTATGAAAAAAGCAGTCGTTCTGCTGTATCCGTTGCATCATTCTCTATCAGTCGATAGATTATGAGAGGGATAACTGGTAACGCTCGCAGGCTCATTTCATCAAAAAAGATAGGATACCTGTTCGTCAGCAGAAAGTTCTTAGTACATAAGACAAATTTCAGTAGGAGCAAAGTTATATGAATCTCAGTTTCTTCGGGCCATCGTAGTAGTTTTCAGTGTGACAAGATTCCGAAGATCTTGAGAGCTGTTGATTGAAATAGGTGTTTCAATCAACAGCTCAACAGTAGATGGTAGGAGGTAATTGTTCAAGAACGTAGCTCTAAGCTTTTTCTCTTCGTGCCGAAATGCCTAAAAGACTATCGGAGACATAAAGGTAGGATGAAGTTATGAAACCTTAGCATGTCAAATATGCAAGCCGCTAGTTTACTTTAAACTTAGGAATGATTGAAGTCACCTGTCTTTTCCTGCTAGGTGCTGACCAAGCGCTTGCTGGGGATCGAGTCTTTGAAACGGACCTGGTTGCATCCAATGCTCTTGCTGGCCTCTACTTACACACTGATGCTGCATGCGCTGCAAAAACTCTGGCCTGTCTAACAACAAACCGATCTATCCAAATGAATCAAACGAATCAGTCCTCTGATCCAAACAACTCGTTTCTCTAGCAAGAAGAAGAAAGAGTACTGAAGTGTGTATGCACATGTACAGAAATTCGGGGCTATGACTTTCTCTCCACACAGCACTCTCAAACATCCTCACAGGAACCCTATTCTATAAGCGTTCAAGGTTCTGCTTGTCTTTGTCCAACATGTGTATAAAGATGAGTCGATTCTTTACAAATAGAAGGATTGCAAAAAGAAAAACTAAGCCAGATTACTTTGCTATGATCATGAAGCTAGTGTGGAAACCTACCACTAATCGAAGTGCGTTGGTGTCATCATCCCGGTCAGCTAATGCCAGCAGTGTAATATCGAATGGCAAAATCTCCTGAGTCCACATTAAAACTGCAAGACCAGCACTTGCTCGGAGCAACAAATCCTGGACAAAATACATCTCATGCCTTCCTGTTCAGATCCATTACTACCGACTGGGTAACACAAGGTCGACATCACAGAACTCAAAACCTCTAACATGGTTTTGTACAAAGTGGGACAGCTGTTCAACTACTGACATTCATGACATTCTTTACTTCTCTTGTCTTGAAGTTCAAGTCTCCCTGGAAAAGGGTAGACAAGGTAGAAAGGGACTACGTATGTGCAAGTTACAAATGTAGCAAAACGTACATGCGCTAAATGGCCATGCTGCAACTGCATTTGAATGTTGTGAAGCAATACGTCGACCATGGTGTATATATTTGTCGTCACCTCCTCCGGTGAAAGCTCTTTAATAAGACGGCCCTGCCGAATCAAATTTTCCCGTTAAACTATTTCCTCCAAAGCGAGATCCCGTAAAACATCTGAGATGAGAGCCTTCAAAACTTGCAAACAACAATATACCAGCTGAAGGCCAGAGTTCGGAAGGGTAAGATTTTTACAAGATTAGCGGTATTGATGCTCTCCAGATGCCCATCCATGAGCATCAACGCTCCTGCACATAAATATTGACGATGCTGAGAGAAATTCATAGCATTCAAGGTTGTCATTGCATACGCGAGATCATGGGCTGGAGACAAGACCGCTCGCAAAGTGTGCATGACAGTAGCTTCCGCCTGCCAGTCAGAAATATAATAGAGAATCTTGTCAGTACATTGACAAAAGTTATACTCGATACCCTATTTGTTTCTGAAGTCCAGCAAAAAAAAAAGAATCTGCAAATCTAACTGATAGTTTATTCCTCCTCGTCCATACGGTGAGGAGATACATAATAATGTATCTCCTCACTGGCAACGACTGCTCCCTAGAATCAGCTCCATACTTATGACCAGACTGAAAAGACATTGCACACGATTCGCCAACCTACCGCTTGCCACTGTTGTATCATCTGCTGTCGCTTATCAGGACGTCCAGAAAGAACATCTCGGAGAGTTGGAGGGAAGTGTCGCATAGTCTTTTCCGACCAGGTATGTTGGCTGTTGGCTAGGATCTGCTCTAAGGCCGGTTGCAGGATCACCAATTGATCGAAGTCTTGAATCCCACGAGTCTTCATTGTTATTGCGAGGTTGATCACCATCACCCTATTCAAAGTTTCTGTGAATTCTGTAGAAGCCCCCTATAGAAATGCAATGGGTAGTTAGAAATGCAATGCTTCTGCCAAAAGGGAAAACCAGCTGTACATCATTTTTCTCTAAAGGTCCTCATGACTTTACAAATAGATGGAAATGACCTACTTTATCAAGCACTACAAAATGAGCGAAGGCTTTAGAATGCCGACCCTTAATTCTGGACAAGAAGATATCTCTAACGATCTAAGTGGGCGAGCATGACCAGTAGGATATTATGATCTTCTTGCTAAACTTTGAGAACAAGCTAGCATGACTCACGACTAATAATTGGATGATAATAAGAGCTAGAGGTATGTTGGTCTAGGCTTTCGAGACTATCCACCTCAATCATCACACGAAACCTCTCTTCATTCATTCGATTGAGTAGGACGATGCGGGGGCATCCAGATAGAGATATGACATTGCGAGGTGAATGTTGAAATCAAAATCATTGATGTGAGATAGAGGATTTATATTATAGCCAAGGACATGACAGAGTTCTTGGATTAAATGATCTATGAGGCAAGATCCAAGGGAGTTTCAAGTTCGCAGATTAGTTATTCGGCAGCTAGTTCAAGTAAACGGCATTCGGCTGTACCTTGAGCTCCTTCTTGATGAGGAAGACATCTCGCATGGAAAGGATCAAGTTTATACCAAGATTTTCAGCCAACCGAAAAAGACGATGTTCACCACGCTTCGTTTTCACGGTAATGAGAATTTTAGCTATATCAAATAGCAACTGTTTGATCTTGTTCTGATACCTGCGAACAAATATTAGACTACTGCGGTAAACTGACATTGAATAACCTAAATCCTTCTAATAAGAAGTCGTCTAACATGAAAGATATAAGACAAAAGCTTTTAGTAGACACAAATACCACGGCTAAACAACTGAGAGTTGCTAGCGGACTGAGATTACAAAGGAATCTGTACCTGTACAAAGGAATGAGGCGGTAGTTTAAGATTTCCAGGAGAAGTAAGGAGACTCCCGGTTTTGCCAATCCTTGTTGGTATCTCTGCATCATCCCCTGACAAATCCAGAGGTCAAATCTATATCAGCCTACCATGGAGCTCGTCTACATTACTCTTATCGTGGACAGAAAAGCTGTACACGACTTGCCAGAGTTGACAACATTGAAAGCAAGACAGGCATTCAGGTGATGACAGGCAGATCCTAATACTAATGAATACTCTTCATCCGCATGAGAAAAAACATATAAATGACATGAATCCTTACATTTACATGGTGTCGGAACAAGGTTTGAGGTACAACTAGAAGGAGTCGTACATAAGTTTCCACCATTCCAATGCTGGGCACATGCTGCACAAAGCCAGATTGGAGTAAGCAATGGCTTGCAGTTGTTCTGTTGAAAACTCAGAAATATACAAACAAAATGGATTGAAGAAAGTGGAACTCAAAAATATAGAACAAGGGACAAGAGCAGTCACGTTCAGTGGGATGTAGGTTGCATGCATGAAAGAACGATCGAGTGTAAATTGCAGGTATCAACAGCTAACGCAAATATGAATGGGTCTGATTGTTTGCAAAAAGTCTATATAAAACTGATGGGTAGAAGTTAGCAGACATCAGGGCCATGAGATCAAGAAAAATGCGGCCTATGCATTACAAGTGCCATACTATGCAAACCTAGGAAAGAATCTTACAATTAGCATGAAGCAGAAAGCAAATATGCAATATACTGAACATATTTGTCAACATTGGTCTCCAATTGACATGTACATTCTGCATACTCTGTTTCCTACATATTCTATTCAACTAAAAATAGAAAGAGAATATTGTTATCGTGCAATCAAAGCACTTAGAAGAAAGCATCCTGGAGACTGAAAGTGAAAGAAGATCAATGATACCTGCCCAGGAAACATCACTTCTTCAATATTGTTGATCAAACGAGAAGACATATGTAAAGATAATCCCGAAAGTAGAACAATTGGCAGCGGACGAGTTTCATGGATAATTGCGAGTCTATCCCCAGTTTGACCAGGACTCATATAATCGGCAGCTCCCTTCGAGTTCAGCCAAGCCATAACTGCCTCACAAATGGGTTGACTGACCGTGTGAGACAGCACCCACACCATTCCCATGGACTTGTCATCCAAGTTTGAGTAATCCAGCACACGTTCTCCTACAAACATTTGCATACAAAGTCAGACATACAGAGCCAAACATACAACGCTTGCTACATCCCCCCAAAGCAGGAACAGCACCCTGCAGAGTGATTTAAAAGCCAAATGCCAAGTGTTTCCGTCAATAGTCAGTCCTATGAAGTAAAACTTTCACACTCTGATTAGCACTAACTCTTGTCTATGTTGTCTTCTACGATAATTCCCAAGGGACCCTACAGATAAATAAGAAGGTCATGAGAAAGGATCTCACCTTTAAGCACTTGCTTCCACCATTCATCAATCTGCTTTCCCTTTTGAATATGCTCAGGCATGCGGTTGCCTGTCAGTTGCTCCATCATCGCTCGATTTATCGACCAGAGTCGTAAGATCTGACTGCTCCCCACAAAATCTAGAAGCATAGTTTGTGGGGCCAGATTTGTGGTTTGATCAACAGGACGCTCAGCCATGTGGAAAGATAAAATTTTCTGAGCCGTTTCAAGCTGCAACATAATATAGGTCATACTTTTGTAAGGAAAGGACTTCGCTCAAAAGAGAACTAAAATTCATGCGTCCTACCATATCAAATGATAGATAATTGTTCTCTTAAGTGATGAGTCTAAAAGCTATTACAATCAAACTTTATGAGAGATCTTTAGGGAGAAGATCACAATCATCTGTACCTCATTCTCAAGCCCATCAGCAGACTTTGCGATAGTATATATTGATAAAACGCTCATCTAGTAACAACGCGGATACTATGCAATCCAATTCTGAAAGCAATATGCAAATGACAGTCTAGAAGTAGACATTTTCCTCGATTTCGAACTGAATGGTTTTGGCATTTTTCAATCACACCTTCTTGGAATCTGAGCTCAAAGCAGCTGTTACAGTTTCGAGCCGAAAAACTTGAGCAAGAAGCCATGTTACGTGATTACTCCGCATCACCGGTTGATCTCCACGGGCAAAACGTGCTGCTAACCTATCGATAAACTCAAGAAAGTCTATGTAGCCACTCCGCATAAAGAAGTAAAATAGATCTGCAAATATTAACCACTCTTGCCAGCGTCCCGCCTCGGTCATCGAAACATAGGCTGAACTGCTAGCTGGACATACGAAGAAAAGTGGACCATCATGAGAAAAGTGAGTCAACCATTGAAGTCTACAGGCTTTAGACTGCTGCAAAAACATTGTCGAGAAGTATACTAAGCAATCAAACGAAGATGTTCCCTTTCTACTTTTCTTGACGTAGGAATATGTGTAATCATTGATCCTAACCGAGCACGGACTTAAACAAGAACATTCCGCAGAAACAAGCAATCACCGATGAGTAAGCTAAGTATTTAACTTAATCCTTAATAAATATACGACCAAATGATGGTATTGAGTGCAATACAACAAAATCAAAGATTTGGTTAGATTCAAAAAATTTACTCTAAGGGATACTGAGGATGCAAGAATTGACTGAACTGGAGATAAAATTATGCCATTTATACTTAAAAGAACCAAACAGATAAGCAAAAGCAATCATTACCAGGAACTAGAGATTCCCTGGCAAGGACGTTGCATAAACTCTTCAACCGTAATAAATGTGCAAGGACACCAAACAATCTGTTCAGCTAGAACAAAGCTCAGTTCTGAGCTGACTAGCCACTATGCTACTAACAAACTTATGTCTTAAGAAATTGAAACAAACGCAAAGCATACATGAGCTGAACAAACATACAGGTTAATGTAGCGAACAAGAACAAGAACAAATAACTCGATGTGAGTGCCAGGACTATCACTGAAATGAAAAGATATGCAATTACAGTAAAGGTGTACTATGACCTGCAAGTTTGCAAGATTATAAATAGAACAAACTTGTTGAAGTATTTATACCACATCTTATTTGAAAGAAGCCGGAAGAAAAAAACCTCTCATGCAATGCTGTCGATACTCATTGAACGCAGTCTAGCGAGACTGAAGCATCGAGTGCAAATAATCTTCAAGCAAATATGGAACTAAGGGGAAAATTGTAAGCGACTGGAAGAACATTGATAAGAGGTATCATGAAAATATCCAGGAAGGGAATGTGCAAGCTTGAATCTATGTTCTCTAAATAAACTTAGAGGGTTTCGTCAACGCAGTAAAGGAGCGTGTATCAATCTACTACCGCTGCCTCCTAGATCTCGTCAGCCTCCTTGTAAAAACAGTTGCTAACATTATAGGTAACACATTAAAGATGTTGGTGACACTGTGATACATGCAACAGTAAAGTTCAAGGAAATGTGCAAACAAAGGTTTGAGCGGCTGTAGTTATAGTTTTTTTAAGTTTCTACTTTTGTCCATCACATGATATAGTTCTTCAATATTAACTGACAGGTATATAGAAAAGAGAGATGCTGAGCACTACCTGCATTTATGGGTGTCATGAGTTCCATTATCCGGTCCACAACCGCTTCACATGTCATGTCTGCAGAGAACTCAGACGCAGGTTGAGTCAGACTTATCAAGGCGGCTCTTGGTGGTGCCGCCTGCCCTTGTGTCTGCTGCCGATACCTTGGTGCGGAAAGCAAAACTTTCTTCCACCAGTCAGCTGATGGGTTGAAGCGCAATGCATGTCTCAAACATCGAAGTGCTCTCTCCCACTCAAGACTGCCTCTGGGAATAGCATTTGCTACATCCTGAAGACACATGCGAATGTTGATGTGATTTAAAGCAAACCAAAAAGTACCTCTTGGAGACGGTCTTCATGAACCTACATGGTACCCGGGGAGGGCATACGGAAACAATAATTCAAAAAAACCAATCTTCCTAGAAATTCCACAATTGAGAAGCTTCGTATCCTGACAAATGTTAAACACACCTCTCCGTGTAGAGGTTCGCCGAGACTTCCCACGTAAGTCAATGCTGTCATGCGTAGTGTTGCAAATGTTGGACAGTGTAGGTGATGATCCAGCATTTGGATATGTAGGGAGATCTTGTCGCGCCTTCGATGCACTTCCAAGAATAAAGCAAAGAGCAGTTCGTCTTCAGGCCAGTGTTCAATCTTCAACTGAGACCGGTCATGCAACAGGGCGTAGAAAGGCACTCGACATTTGCCTTCATCGATCAATGCCCAGATGAGCTCTACACAGTCGTGCAACCAGGCAGTAGATTCAACTCTGCCATCATCCTTGTTTACAGACGGTCTTTCACCAGCAGTTGCAGATCTTAGATCCCACTGGTTTATCCATGACACAATTTGCACAAGTACGTCATAGCATGCTACTGGCTTCAGCTCAGCTTCCAAGGCTGCTTGCAGGATCTTGCAAACCAAAGGTCGCAACCAAGTTACTACCCTAGGACCAGAAACAATTTTGCCTCCTGAACCATTCGTACTACCAGTCGCCGTATTGGATGGGAGGATGTTAGATGATGTATCTACGGCAGAATGGGTTGGAGAGGCAATTAAGCTTGAAGACAGAGGTGGAGCTGGAGAAGCTGGAGCACTCAGCGGAGGAGTCGTTGAGTTTCCTAACATATGTGACGCTACACTAGCTGGTGTAGACGTGGCTGGGGGCGCTTGCTGCAATCCTGCAGTCTCACACGCACTGACTGCTCGCAGCAACAAGGGCAGGAAAGTGTCCCAACGAATCAAATTCAATTTAGTTAATGTCTGCAGTGCAGAGAGCAAAAACTCCACTTGAAGAGAGTGATAGCTGCATTGAACCACAAGCATTGCTAGCACAGCCTCAGTTGAAGATCTTAACTGCTCCGCGTCCTGGGACAAAGAAGGTTAAACCAAAAGCTCATTACTATATTGGTGATGTGTTCAAAATCTCTAACTAGCTAAGCCGTTATGCTGAGAATGGAACTTGGAACCGGAGTGACAATCAAATTTATCAGGAAGAAATAATTGTAAGGCTGCATCAAGCCTTAGGGCAGGAACTGATGCTTTTCGCCTTACAGCTGAACCTCTTGCATTTCAAAAGAGCAAAGGGCCAGCGGTAACCTACTGCAAACATAGTCTGCAGTTCCTGGTAGTCTGCAAGGAAGTTCTCGTCTTTTGGTGGTTGAGGTCTATTTGTTGCCGACATCTTTCTCCTTAACTTCGATGATCTGTGCACAATGGTACATATAAATTACATGGTAAGAATTACACACAACAGATGTTCTCAAAATTTCAATAAGATATTCAGGATTGATTCGTATTGCTTACCTGATAAAAGTAACCCGTATGATGACCTTTGACAGTGTTCTCAGTGAGTAGAATTCAAGACAAGGTAATGATAATGATTGCAAATTTACACCAGTAATCTTGTGCGAGTTTCTTGAATAGATACTGATGAATCTCATTCTTGCTATTTTTCCAGAAAATAGCATCTCAAGCATCAGGAAAATAGTTTATATTCGAATTTGAGCATTGGAAGTATTAATCTGTACTGAGCTTAACAAAGGTCCACTCACTGTTGCTCTCTCGAGATTGCGTCGCTTTTGCTGGTTGTTGACCTCTGCAACAACCCAATAAGAACAATCATACGTAAAGCGAGTTGTTAGTCGCACTGAAACATCTTTTCTTAACAGAAAACAGAAGATCTTCCCTGAAGATCTAAAGGAGGATGGAAAATCCGGCAAAATGTCTTTCTACCAGAAGATAAGCTGGAGGCGTGGGATAAGATAAGCCATTAAAAAAACATCAGATATGAAATTAAAATCTAAAGGATGACAACATCTTACTTGTGTATTATATTTCGGTCGATACTTAGCATTAGATACATTTCGGTCGAAACTGGTCGATACTTAATGTATTACATTTCTATCAAATTTCTACAGCCCTATGACTTTCATAGAGAAGTAAGTAAGAAACAAACACAACAGACCAGAAAAAAACTCAGGCTCAAAAAACTGCGCACGAACGAATTCGCAAAAACGTTCATTGATTTGTTTAGAAAAAGCAAGAGTTTGTATAGGCCTGCATTTGAATCAATGAGTCCTCGATGTGCTCATTCATGAACTTAGCTACTTCTTGCAGCTTCACGAGACAACATTTCTAAGATAACGGACTGATGTATCCCCACAGCTTAAAAATACAATCCAGGATATGAAACTTGCTGGGGTTGCAACCTATGACTGAGGAAAAGTTTTATATTGCTTTCATGAAAGCAAAAGAAAGTTCTATAATGATATCTACATAAAGTACAGCACATCATGAGTGACCTCTGAAAATTGTAATCACGATCATGCTATGCCTAGCCAACGTGCCTGTTGTACATGTTTGAGGAAACAAGACGACCAGTTCAATATGTACATTTTTCATTTGATGACATTCTACTGTTGTCAGAATTCGGAATACAGAAGCAGAGCAGAATGAATGAACAAAACGATTTTAAGATTGAGATGAAATTATCAAGTTCTCAATGTTCCATGGCACGTCACAGAAGAAAGCGGACCAAGGCGTGTTAACGCGAAGGCATGTGGAGATGCAGAGCATTCTTGCGCGTACAGAAACACATGCTTCACAGCCAAGAATTGCCAACCACGTTGTAACCGGAGACACAAATAGAGACACTAGGGAAGACCATCTGAAAACAGGCATTATTTTTTGACTGTAGGTTGTTACTGAAGGTTCATTAGATTTTACTTTATACAGGATAGGCACTACTTCTGATTGAGTACATGCGTGGTAAGCATATATGAGATTCGGTCATAATCGAGCTTAACACGATAGTCTCCTTGAAAAAATATCGAGCCCTTTTCAGAAGTACGACCTCTGATATCAGCCAGTGCAGAACATGACTGTGGCAATAATTACGTTGCCATCTTGGAAACCTGCGCTTCTTGTCAACGAACAATTTGCTTCTGTTTGCGATGCGAGAACGCTCTTTATTGATCAACCGTCGGAGCGAAACGAAGGCCCAGACGTCCGATTATCGAATTGAATCAATAGAGGTGGGAAGAAAAATTCCAACAAATTCGGTAAAAATAGCAAACGTACTCCGAGGTAGAGATTGAAGAGGTCTTGGACAGCCACACGAGCATTTTGGGCAGCAGGTGCTCCATTGCCAACGTTGGCAACGGCCCCCGATACTCCACCTCCGGAGCTCAATTCCATCTTCGTCACTTGGCAATTCTCGTCCCTCGACGGTGAAGAGCTATTTCAAATTTGCAAGTGCGGAAAAGCTCTCGAGGCCCTCTCTTTACGAAGTTTATTACGAGCGAGCTGCACTGTACAACACCAAAACCCCTTGGCCTGTCGGCATTCCAACTCTCACTCGTGACAACCCCACGTCGTCGGAGACTCTGCTTTGTAATCTGTACACTCCTCTCCTCCTCAACGTCTGCTTGCCGGATTTCGTCGTCCCGCCTGTAACTCGGTAATTGCACGTTCCCCTCAGTCTCCGGGCCCGAGGTCGCTAACTTGATTCTGGCTTTTCTAGCCGTTCGGCGAAATTCTCCACGTCGTCGATTCGGCACATTTGTTCAGCAGACTTGTCCATGTGGACGCCGGAAACGTTCTCAATGCAACCTACGAGCACTGTCAAGTTACCAGTGTACTGTGCCGTCCTGTCATGTCATGTCCTTTGGAAGTGTCTTGTTCAATGCATCAAGGTTTTCGGTGATCTGATTGTGTGATCACAATACTACTGAAAGGTTATCAGCCTTCTCGAGGAAATTCATGAAAGTAACGCGACCAATAGCAAAAATAATAGTAATACCATTGAGTATTAGAAACCCATCAAATGTGATCCTATAGGTTAGGCATGAAAAAGTGAAATATACTGTTACAACTAGTATATCGTAACTAAAATATTGTACATACAACGCCCTATCACTGATATTTGACTTATCATTACAATTTATTGATTGTATAATAAAATAGAAACTAATTCACAAGTTTTTGAAATAATGTATATCTGATCACTTTAATATGTGAAATATATTGTTTAGATGATATTACATACACTTTTATGAAACTAATAGATTATATCCTTCGTTCATTATGTTTGGGATTTTTGTACGTTTTCAAGTTCAGATTTCTGCTAAATGATTTTTAGAAATAAAATATGAAGAATATTTTTAAAATTTAAAACCCTAGTTGGAAAGAATATCCATGTATTATTCTTTTGTCGTGAACTCTTACTCTAACAAATGTTTCTAATTTGTTGTCATGTCAAGCTTGCCCAAATGTGCTAATGAGCTTTAAGGTTAGATCAACAAGAGCATCAAGGTTGTCAAAAAAAGGTTTGAAAATAAATGAAATGTGGCATTCTAGTATTGTATAATAACATTAACAAAAATCTTAGGAAAAATACTCGCAATAATTGTAGGAAAAACACAAGATTAGAATTGATGATGAACACCATACCTTGTTGTGTAAGTTACACTTGGCAATAAGCTTTTGTAAGAAAACTCTAGCCCATTTGAAAATCCGATATGTCAACTATTTCCATTACGATATAGGTTTACAATAATGGGAGTGCCCCTGGCTTGTCACACACATAGATCTCACAAGCTGAAAAATTTACAAGCGATAAGAATCTAAAAGAGAAAGTCGCATTCTCTTCTCAAGTGTATGGGCTTGAGATGATCCACACACTTAAGAATTCATCTTCCAAGTACACCGTGAAGAGTCTTTGCTTTATCTTACTGATTTCTCATCACTGCCATGTAATCGAATGTCCTAACCATCCAAAGCAACAGTAAAGTTGCTCAAGTGATGTCTTCAAACAACTTCAAGCAGCATATTACTCCCTATGACATGTATGCTCTTCATCAAATCCAAGCATTTTCTTGATTCGGCGAGGGATATCAAATTGCTAATACAATTTTAAAATCTCCGTTTCTAACCTCTCTCTCTCTACCGTCAACCATTGCACCGTCCTCATTAACACACGCACAATTGTAATCTTTTCCATTGAACTAACAGCAAAACATTTCGCAATTGTTTCCATTGATCTAACCGCCAAACATGGAAAAGTAAAAGAAACATGAGTTCTTCGAGTGAAAATCCCACTAGCATAAAACAACATAATCTCACATAAAGTCAACACAAGCTCACTCCATAACTTGGAAAATCCAATTTGAAGCTAACGGGACATCAATTCTAACGCTAAAGTCTCAACTCAGCTTAAGGTTCTTCAAGTTGTAACTCGCCTATTCACTCCCAATTGCAACAGTGGGCACTAACCTAAGATAAGGTTTAGGGACTCTAATCACGACTTACGTGGATATGACAGTGATGGTGACTCATGAAGATTTGATCACTAGTTGTGGTAAAAAATGGGCAAAAACCAAAATGACATTAGTGGTGTGTTACAACGCAAGTGGAAAAGAACGAGTTCCGATCATAATGATTAGAAAGTCAAAACAATCTGTTTACATTGTCAAAAACACTTCGCACATTTCTCAATTTTGTGAGAATAACGTTTGAATCTATGTCCCAACATTCAATAATCGATTTGATGAGATCTTTGAGCTTTGTGTTTGCTAAGCGGCATGACACAAAGTGTTGTTGCTCCTTGACAAATTTCTTCATCATGCTACTGCTTTTGAGGTTAATGACATTTGTGTTGACTTCTTTCTGGCTAACGTAATCTCTTGAAAGAAGTCAATGGATATGGATATCATCACAAATGAAAAAAGCCATCTTCTGCTAAAAAATATTGTCCTATGTTATGATAATCTAGAAGCATTCAAAGACCAGGTTGCATTAGTGGCTTTCAGACTCCAACAAAGACTCCAACAAAGCGCGGTTGGAATTGCTTACATAAGACGTTCACATTTCTCATGTGAATTTTGGAGCACGGACAATTTTGAGCATGATCATGATTTATATTTTAATTTGTTATTTATTATTTTAAGTTGTTATGATTGGAAAGTGGATTCAGACTTTAATTTTTTGTTACTTAATATAAAATGATGTCACACAATTCATTCATGTAATGGAAATCACTTTTTTCATAGATGGTAATAAACATAAAAAACTAATCAATTTATATGGAGACTATGTTTAATTTATATATGCATATAGTGGAGACACTTGGATAATGAGGGACTGCATAGTTTAAAAAGTTAAAATAAGAATTTATAATAACTTTCGGAGGCTTTAATTTGACCGCACTACGACACACAGAGCTGATTTAGATCATGTATTAATACTAAATTCATATTTGATGCAAGATTTTCTGCTCATGACAATAATTCTTTAAGCATTCCTTGGGTGTAAATGATTGTAATAATGCAAATATCATAGCTTTATATGTTTGCATATTTCCTTAAATGAAGTTGTATATTTCCAGAGAAACGGTTAAAGGTTGTAATTATAACCATATATTATTAACTACGATATCACAGGGGACGTTCGAGGTAGGTAGGATAATGAAGAGCCAGAGTCAATAGACCTCACATAGGTAAAACATTTGAGGTAAGCTCAAGCTTGATGAACTCGATTTCGGTTGTTTTGGTTACTCGTGGAGAAATCAATTTTGGAGCAAGCCTTTGAAGACCTCATGAGAGAAAGGTACCAAATTGCAAGGAACTCCGAAGGAAAATTCATAGCACATCATCACCCGCCCAACATCAGAGACGTACGGATGGACCAACTGCGCTTGGCAACTCGGTTGACTAGGGTTCGTACCAAGCAAAGCACTGAATCGCCGTTCGGATTGTTTCTCGTATCTAGAAGCCAATGGATGTAGTGTGGAGCCGGCGACCAACTGGGGCCAAGGCAGCACAGTCTAACTAACTGGGTCCGATAGCGAAGACCACAGAAGAAGCGTGGTTGAGCGTTAGTGTGAGGAAGTTCCGTGACAGAACAAGGAGGAGCCGCGAGGAGGAGGAGGAGAAGAAGGCAGAGCGAGGGAGAGCTCAGCTGCCTGCCTGCCTCTGCCTCTCTGGCCTCTCTGGCCTCGGGCGTGCGTGCAGACCGAGCGCAGAGACGGTCAGTCTCTTCTCTGCCTTGTTCTGCTCTTTCGTGGCCTCCAGCAGCAGCAGGAACGAAGGAAGGGAAGGGATCTCAAGGGACAAACATTCCTTCCCTCTCTTGGAGAAGCAGACAGACCGGGATCCACTAATGCGTATGCGAGAGACAGAGACAGAGAGAGATGATAGCATAGCATACCAGCAACAGCATCAGCAGCAGCAGGAGCAGAGCGGACAATGAGGAAAAGCAGCATGTTTATCGAAATCTGAACTGGAGGAAGGGCCGGGCACTGCTGGGATTGATGCAAGGCAGACGAACAGGCGGGCGGGCGGGCAGGGTTTGTCGTGGTTGTTTGTTGACGATGGTGATGATGTAGAAGGCTTGATGTTGGAAAATTCTTAGGGAGTACGAGCTCATCGGTGTCCGGCTGGCTGGGCAGAGAGGGAGTGAGAGTGAGATAGAGAGAGAGGAGTGCTTGTGAGGAGGGGAAAGGGAAGAGGAGGGAAGTGGAATTGAACGATTGTATGAATGCGGGTGAGAACCGGCGAGGAAGCTGTGGTCAGGCTGGACTTAACGGAGAACGCTGCGAAGAGGAGGTGTTTAGAAAAGGAAGCTACGCCTGGCGTTCAGGCCATGGCGCAGCGTAATAAGAAATATGATCGTCAACTGCGGTGAGTTTTTATATACCCCCATGGGTTTAGGTTATCAATGCTTTGTCCGATTTGATTCTGGCACGAAAAGAATTGGGATTTGAGGCTTGTGTGAATGATCCGATCATATGAATACGTTATCCTCCGTCGTGTTCAATCTCCATTAATTTGTTTTACATTATCCCATTGGATTCGTGGACACGCTGTGTTGACTCATTGGGGATGCGCTCGGTGCAGAATATGGGGAGAGCAAGGACAAGAAGCCTTGGAGAAGGCAAATATTTGTGTGCTCAATGTTGGACCGACTGGTGCAGAAGCGCTGAAGAATTTGGTTCTCGGAGGAATTGGATCGTTTACGATTGTCGATGGTTCCGACATTCAGGCGTCCGATTTGGGGAACAATTTTCTGAGTAGGCTCACACACATTGCAGTTGATGCTCTTGCACACATTCGGGGTCATTGCCGGTTGCAATTTGTATATTACTTGGGCTTCTATGGCCTAGAGAGTTGTATCAGCTATCTACTCACGTGAAGATGCCTGTGGTTTTACAGTTGAATGGGACAGTGTTGGAAGACGCAAGGCGTCAGCTGTTTGCTCCGTACTACACGAGATGAATGAGTCCGTTGAAGCCAAGTTCGTTGAAGAGTCACCCGAGGCACTCATTGAGAGCAATCCTAGCTTCTTCGGACAGTTCACTCTAGTGATCGCGACACAGGTATATTGTCGTGCAGTGGTGTCTCTTTGTTTTAGCAGATTCATCATGCGAGACAAATAGGGAGGGAGTTGTCGGGAGCGTGAGTTGCAGTCAATTTTCTATGTGTTTTTTTCATTTTGATATTAATAGGAAAAGAGGTATTTTTTGGACTGCAGATGTCGGAGTTTGCCCTTGTGAAGCTTGACCAGATATGCAGGCGCTACGATGTGCTTCTTCTTGTCGCCCGCTCGTATGGTTTGTTCGGCCATGTTCGTATCAGTGTTAAGGTATTGCTGTATATTCTACCAATCTGCTTTTGTCAAATTTGGGTTCAGATATTAGGAAAAGAGGTATAGGGTTCATTGAATCTTATATTGGGATCTGAAGGTGCCACTCCGAGCTGGAGAGAAGTTTTTTTTGGAACGAAGTTACTCTTTCACAAGCACGAGCTTGCTTGGGTTGTGCTTTATATATATATTCAAGAGATATGCTAGGCTGCAAGTATATTGGGAAAACTTGGCAGAGAATCTGTAAACTTCTGTGACTAATCGGTAGAAGGTGCATGGCCGCTCAGGAACATGTAGTCATTGAAGCCAAGCCCGACAACAAGGTGGAGGATCTAAGGTTCCATAAACCATGGCCAGAACTCAGACGGTATGAATTTCTCTGCTTTTAAACGCGTCCGTTGAGTTGAGTACTTGACCTATATATAAGCGAAAAGTTGTACTATCACTATTTGCCTGTCATATATTGAAGACTATAGACCCCTGGTTGGGCGATGCGAGTAGTAAAAGGTTTGGAAGAAAAAGTGAGATGATACGAAGAGATAGAAGGGAGGACTATTTTAAAATTGAAGAGTGTCCTGCGACTATGCGAGTAGTAAAAGGTTTGGAAGAAAAAGTGAGATGATACGAAGAGATAGACGGGAGGACTATTTTAAAATTGAAGAGTGTCCTGCGATAGATATTTCCCTCACAAGGTCTTTGGGAATTTCAGGCGTCAACCACGAAGTTTTGCACTAGCTTATGCACCTGAAATGTTGTACCTTCAAAAACTGTTTGATTGATTTTTTTCTCATCTTCGTTTTCACCAAAGTAAAGTGAATCCGTGGTTCTATGGTGTAACTAGAATTTGACGGTGAATCTTGGAAGGAAGTTGCAAGGACTTTCTCGCAGGTCTCCAGTTTGCTGTTTTAGGGTCATTGAATGTGTAAAGAATTGATTTATGATACCTAATGATTTATCTAGGCTGGTTGAGGAATTTGATATCGATACCAAAGATCCTGTCATTCACAAACACATACCATTCGGAGTTCTTCTGATCAAAATACTCGACGATTGGAAAGCTGAGCATGGAGGTCAGATGCCATCCAGCTTGAGAGAGTTGAAGGTATGTTTTCCAAACCCTTTTTGTCTGCTGAAGTAGTCCTATTTTGGTCAGCGGAAGATGTATGACGTGTGTGACTTAGGTTTTGTATCATAAGCAATTCAAGACTCATAACTAAAGAGTGCATATAAAGTCCTCACAACTTTCATCTCTCCTGGACGATCCAATATAAGACGTAAATGCTGATGACAGGCCGCAATAACCTCAAGGAGGCGATCAGATGACGAAGATAATTACAAGGAGGCCCTGAAGGCCGCTTATTTGGTTACTTCACCTCCCGTGCTAAGTAAGGACATCTCTTTGAATCATCTGATGCGTATGTGAGACACAACGCAGCATCATCATCAAGTTGTCAATGCTTCTATGCAACACATGTTATGTGTAGAAATCCATTTGTTCTGAAGAGTTACTTTTGCTCGGCTATTTATCCGGTGGGGATCACATGCAGATATTGCTAGCCTCCGAACTGTTAGGTCAATTCTACCTCGTGTATGTAGGTACAAGAGGTTGATGACAACAATTGGATGGTTTTGTCATGCTTTCTTGTCTAACGGGAAAACATGTCACACGTGTTATCACTGTTTATTCGGAACGCAGAACCTGAATTGCTTGCTGCCCTGAACGATAGATGTGCGGAACTCGACTCGCTTTCTTCTGAATTCTGGATTATGGTTGCAGCGTTGAAGGTCAGGAAATGTTTCCCATCTTGCAAACTGATCTTCAATCTTAATACTTTTGTTGGGCTCTTTAATGAAGGTGGGACTTCCAGCTACGTCAGTTAAGTGGAATAAAATTCTTGATATACCTCATTCGTATTTGGAATGCTTAACCAATTTTTTTGAGACGAGAATGTAAGCGGAACAATATACTGAAAATATAGATTGATGACTTGAGTTCTTTGGGTTCCATCTTGTCCAGCAATTTTTGGAGAACGAGGGTCAAGGGGAACCACCTCTAGACGGATCTGTTCCTGATATGCACTCATTCACAGAGTAAGCTTCATATTAACTGACTTTCACGCGGGAACGTTCTCAATCATTGTTTTTCTGCATCCTCTTATGTTCATAACTCTGAGGCTGATGTCATACTATGTCAATTTTTTACTTGCAGATATTACATACGCGTACAAAAAGTTTACCAAGCTCGAGCTGAAGCGGATGCCGCTGCCGTTGAAGAGAGGGTCAGATCTATATTGAAGCAGATAGGCAGGGATCCAAATGCAATTTCAAAGACAACAATAAAACACTTCTGCAAAAACGCTCGAAATTTGCGCGTATGCCTCATCCATCTTCAAAACTGTGTACTCCAGTAATGTTCTTCTGTCTAATTCTCAAAGTTTCGATGCGGACTTAGATGTGAACAGTCTACGCTATGCACATTAACGCCGTTTAGCGTCGTTCATGACCGCTTGTCTTTTGTGCATTAGGTATATCGCTACCCCAAGATTTCAGAAGAATGCAGTTCTCGGGCTGGTACAGAGTTCCAAAAGTTGCTGGCAGCAGAGGACAACAGGTATTACATTTAGGGGTGTATGAAAGTTCCAGCTCATATCTGTATTCTTGTCCGTCACATCGTGATTAGTCAAGTTCTTATTTTGTTTCTTACAGTGTGCAAGCAGGTGAAGTTCATGAAGATTTGGACAATTATTGATAATTTTGAGTGCTTGAGCTATCTCCTTACAATGTTGTTTTGGCTTTTGTTAAATTTTAGTAATGCCGCTCTATATGTTCTACTTCGAGCAGTAGACCGGTTTGCTGCAACTTACAAAAGATATCCTGGTGTTTTTGATTCGTAAGTTTCAAGCACATTTTCCTTATCTATCTTCAGGAGCCAGTACTTCTTTCAATGTGGATCTCAACGAAAATCTCTACTGTTGTTTTCAAAAATTACTTCTGAAGATTGTTGTACTTGTTAATTGTTTGTCTTTTGATGTTTGACCAGCTAGAGCTCAGATTATTTTAAAATATAAACGACGCAAATTTAAGATGCTCTTCATTCTTAAGAGTCATGAATCTCTGTTTTGCCAGGGAGATTGAAGATGATATTTGTCAGTTGAAGTCCACCGCAGCTGATGTGCTCAATGACATTGGTAGTTCTGGGGCTAGCATTCCGGACGACCTTGTTAGTGAAATTTGCCGATTTGGAGCAGCAGAGTTGCACTGTGTAGCAGCAGTTGTTGGTGGAATCGCCGCTCAGGAGAGTATCAAGGTGCGTTTCGTACCCAAGTCTTTGGTCTCTTGAATCGCGCATGATGAAAAACAAAGCACGTGCTTGAAGGTAAGTAGGTTGCAAAATGTTGTCAAAGAAATGTTAGATAACACGACTCATGTAGAGAGGAAACCGACCATTATATTAAACGATCAACTGTTTTCCTTTTGCAGTTATTAACAGGACAATTCATGCCTCTTAGTGGGCCCTTAATCTACAATGCTATTAGTGCAACCTCCACGGTCTTCAATTGTTGAGAAGTTAGTCATTCTGCAAACAATTCTGCATCAGACGCTGCAAAAAGAGTGGAGTTGTCCGCCCAATTGATATTGCTCCTCGGTACGTGGTATCCTTGTTTGAGGACTTCTGTTTTTGTGTTTGTATCTTTGAGCGCACCATTTTCTTTTCACACTTTCGCTCGAGGTTTTCTTAAGTTGTCGCAAAGTTTGCCGGTGGGAAGTGGTTCGATGAGCTTTGGTACTTCTCCAGAAAATCTAGGATTCCTTCTACCTGACTGCAAGATAGGCGAAAGTTTCATTCGCTTTCTAATCTGAACCCGTGTCCTGTGTTTCATTTTGTTCAGTGGCAGATTTTCGAATTCGGCGAACTGTGGGGTATGAGCAGATTTGGGTAATTTAAGCGGCTAGTTCACAGTTATTAGAGAATACTTTGACCCGATTCGAAGGCTTTTTTCGTTCGTCAAGAAGGGTTATGTACATTCTGGTCTTTGAGCGATTAGGGCTCTATTTTAAAGACTAGCGACTTTCGTGTCAAGGAGATATCATGGCCATGTTTGAACTGTCAGCTGTCTCTCTTGACACCCCTGTTCAGTTGTACTCCAGGAATGAAGAAGTTGCAAGCAAAACTCCAAAACCCCGTATCAAGAGTGCTAGTGATTCCAAAACTCGACGATGGCAAATAAGTTATGGCATCTGAGTGTATGCACAAGTTTCGCTATGTGAATGCTGGGTCTTTGTCTCGCATGCCCTGTCTATACACTGTCATTCAGTCAATGCTGTTCAGGTGCTGTAGTATATCATGGTTTGAAGATCTTTGACTTGTGATACAATTAACCTGGGTGTACTGCGGCGGCGGCAGCACATTTACAACAGGTGATGGAATGGGCTAAGGCCAACATTAGTGAGATCAAGGTCAGGGCTCCTCGAGAAGATACCTATATCATGAGAATTTAATGTTCCGAATTGCTGAGCAGTCTTGTTGTATCCAGGAAATGGTACACCAATGCGAAGTAGTGCCTTCGTTTCGAATAGTGGAGTCAACCGATGGCATTGCGAAGTTTTTATTTAATTGCTAGGAGTTTAGATGTCTGCTATCCTTGGGACTTTTCGTGCTGACATAACGTAATCTTCGATGTCTCAATCGATAGAATCTAAAGGTTCGTGAAACGATGATGGATTTACGTATTTGGGATGTTTTCATTATCGACGATAACTTAGGAAAGGATTTGTCTTAACTTTCTTAAAAGAAGTTTCGTCAAAGCAGAGAGGTTCAACCTCGCATATCCCATATATGTTAAAAATCGATGTTTTTTCTTCCTCCATACGAAAATGGAGATTAAGTTAAATAGTAATATACCGCCAGTAGTTTAATTGCTGATGAAAGTGGATAAAATACACTATTGATTATTGAAAGACCTCATTAATAAATCTTGAGAAAATATGAAATATTGTTATATATATATATATATATATATATAATGTTAATGGATCAATATGTATTGTAATAGATACATGATAAAATTATTATAATTATATTCATTTATGCTTCAAATTAACAAATTTTTATAATATGCATGATATCCATGACAATATATATATATATATATATTAAAAACAAATAATATAAATACATAAAAAAATATATTTATATTTTTTATAGAAAAGTTTTCCCAGAATAAACTCCAGAACAGATTGTATGTAATCCTTTTTTGATGTAATTATCTTTTATACATCATTGGTATCTACGGTTTTTTTTTCGTATGAAACTATAAATCCACTTGTAGTATATAATTTATTTGAGTTATTTGCTTGATGGGTCACATCAAGCAATTTACGTTTGGATGGGATCTCCAATTTAACCGATGGGATCCAATGGACCGTGTGCCGTCGTTGAGTTCTAGTAGGTGTTCTAGTACAAGTATGTTCTTGTTAAGTGATCAATCAGTTTAGATTTCTTTGATAATACACGTTCATTGGTCTTTAGATGTTTTGCTCACAAAATTAACAACTAGCTACCTCACCTCTCGTGGTGGGCATTCCCGGTTTGAGATCTCGAGTGGGTGCCCGAACCTAAACTGTTCAGAAGTCAAAGCTCGATCACCGCGATCTAGCTAACATAAAAATTGAACCTTCCTCCTCCTGAAACAACCTCATGGTACTACCACAGAGAAGACGAGAGAAAGAGAAAGAGAGGAGTTGGGGAATGCGAGCAACTTCGGTCGATTTAAAGCTTCGACAGCAATTGCTGGACCTGCGATGCCATGTCGTCATGATTTTTGGCGGTCTCGATCCCGGAACCTTGCCTAACAGTGCAGCAATGTTTTCAGAGGCGCAGCACGGCCGCGCAACGACGGGCTCACGGTCTATGAGGCTCTGCCCTGGAGCCACCCCTCTGTGACATTGCGTTGCACTTTCTTTCCCGGAAATGCCTGCGCCATAGCGGGGACAAAATTGAACCTTCCTCCTCCTCATGACGCTAGCGGTCCGAGCAATTTTTTGATCTTCATCACCTTACTGTGCCATTCTTCCCAAGAAAGTGGTTCAGTAGGACCGGACTCTACGCAGCGATGCGAACGGCGAAACGAAGTATCACGTGCAAAAGGTAACACAAAGTGCTACTCACGCACCGTCGTCTATTCATACTAGAACAGTGTCACTTGGACCGTCGGTGGGGTCCCATCGGGTAAATTGAAACTTAATGGGTCCCATCAAGCAATTTAAGTTTGTATGGGGTCCCATCAAGCAAATATCTCAATTTATTTCTCTACTCATTTTTATATCTCGATCCATTGTTTATCACCATGAAACTTGTCACTTCTCCAGGATTATAAATTAATTGATTTAAATATATTCTATCATTTATGATCACATTTAAACAGTATTAATATTGATATTTTTGAACAGTATTCACCGTAAAATACATTGTTAGTTCTCACTCCATGTGAAGTCTTCGTCTTCACGTGCAATGATTATTGTCACATTTTCAATTATGTATTGTTTAGTCATATATAATTGTGAATCCAATTTGTTTTTATTTTGGGTAAATTTTTTTTGTGGAAGATAGTAATATTATTTCACAAATTCTAAATCAGTTTAGTGGTGTAATTAAATTTATTATAAGAATAAAAAAATTGAAATATCATTTGAGTTTTTTATGTCAAATAATTCTTTCAATGACACATATGATATTTTAGTTTGATTCTAAAAAATTGAATCAAAGTATTATCAAAATTCCATAAAATTTCTTTATTATTTGAGATTGTATTTGAAATTGTTACTATGTTTACAAGCTGAATTTTTTCATTATTTTATCAGAATTGAAGTTTAGCAATAAATAAAATCCTCTAATTTGAATTCCTCATCTTTTGAATTGATACTCATGTGGTAAGTATCAATATTCATATTGTTATTACATTTAAATATATCACTTTAATGAATTATAATCATCTAAAGAATCCTTTTGAATGAACTGTAATAAAAATCCCATAAACATCACTTAATGTAAGTCATAAAATTTTTTATTTCAGTTGACCAATTTTTAATATTGTATCTTATTGAATTTTTAATTTTAAAATATTACTTGTTAAAATTTCTAGTTGACATGATATTCTGAGGTTTGAATATAACGTGACCAATCTTATTCATCAAAATATTGAATTTCTTGAAAGTTATATAAATCTGTAAAAGACTGATGCATTCTAAAACCCCAATATACTAATTTTATGTTTTTAAAAACGTACAATTTTATAATTACATGGCATCAATATCATATTTTAACTTTGTTTGAAATTGATATATGCTCAAGAGCAATTTTTCATTTTTTGATGATGATGATCAAAAAAAATTGTAGATTACTAATTCTACATTTTATAATTTTGTTCAAATAAAAAAAAATATAGTATAATTAGTTTGAATAATAATTAAAAAATTATGTAGATTTCATGCAATTTATTTTTTAAAAGTTTTTTGACTCCAACATACATCATCGTAATTAAATCATTTACAATTGAAACAATGATACTAAATCATATACATAAATTAAATGTAGATCAATTAAAATATATTTTTTTCTATGTTGACTTTTCATTTTTAATATCAAATATCAATTAAAATAATCAAGAATTTTTTTATCTATATTCTTTACTTATTCAATTGCACTCATCATCAATATGATTTTTGTGAAGTGATTGATTTACATAGTTTAGGAAATGCAAATATTTAAGCTACAAACGTTGGTCACATAAATGCATTTTTCTGGTTTCTTTGAACAAATGTGTAGTAAAAACAACATAAATTGGAAAATCATAGACAAGTATATAATGTGAGTATCAATCACAATTTCTTTATCAAGTTAGTGATATGACATAGTTTTGATAATTTATATTATGATTATGAACTCAGTTTTTTTTTTCAATGAAAAGATTTTATGTAATTTATGCATTTTATGTTCAATTTTTAATGTGGTTTCTTGTATTTGCAACTAAATATGCATCAATATCAAACTTGTTAGCATGATTTTAAACTTATTTCATTAAGTAATTTATGGCTTTTAATGTTCTTGTAAGGGACAAAATTGAAAATGTTCGTTGTTGTTGTTGTTCACGCCTTCGAACAAGTAATAAAGGGTATATTATGTGTTAAAAATAAAAACTTTCATACGATTTCAAAAAAATTATTTCACATCAAATGAGTTTCTAATTCTTATTGCTAACCTTCATGAGAGTAAAATTTTCACGAGATAAACGCCAAAAATAACGTGGTTCGCTTTATAGACTACATACTCGGAAACATTCACTGTATTACAAGAAATCTATTTGTCGTTTAGCACGACAAATAGATTTTCCGCACTAAGTAGTATAGCTATAACCAGTCTAGCTAAAATACTAAAGTTCATAGTTGACTTGACAAGAATTAACCCTAACAATCTTTACTCTAACACATGTGTTGGGTATATTAATTTCCTTAACCTATATAATTATTATGCGGGAAGTTCTAGAAGTAAACCTAACAAAGTATACTCTTTGAACTAGAGTTGAATAGAAATAAATGCTAGTCAGAACATGATAGAGTACTAACATATAAAATTAATTAAATTGTTAATAAAGTCTACTTATGCTCCTCATGTGAAACTTGCATAGTAGCACAATGTATACTAAAACTACTCAACAAAATAATTTTGATCAACGCATCCGTTTGATTAAATTTACTGTAAATCTTGACTAGTTCAATTATTTTATCACAAATTGCATCTCTAATAAAATGAAAATGGATGTCGATGTGTTTCACTCTACTGTTTATCATTTGATTTGAAGCAAAATGTAATGCACTTTGGCTATTATAGTGAAAATTGACAGCCTTCTATTTCAATACCATCTCAAAGATAAGCTTTTTTCAACCAAATAACTTACTTTGATGCTTCTGTTGCCACTATATTTTCAGCTTCAATTGTAGACTGAGCTACACATTTTTACAAGTAAGATCTCTAAATTATGCATCTACCATCAAGTGTAAAAATATATATAATTGTAGAATTCTTCTTGTCCAGATCTTGAACATAGTCATTATCAATGTATATTAGCCAGGATTTGACATTTTCTAATAGATAATCAAAAAACTAAAAAGTACTAATTCTTAGTACTCTTTAAATACC